GTACTGCTCGCAACGGGCCTGCAGTCGCTCTCCCATCCCTGTCTGCAAAAGAGCGCCGGGCGCAATCTTAAGCAGACCGTCATTCCTGCGGGAGAGGAGCGGACAAGATCAAGAAGAAGCGCCCGCTAACTCTAGCTCCAAGCTCAACTTTGGACTCAAGCTACGACAAAGGAGGTCTACCATCTGCATCTAGAACCGAGAGGACTCGTCCCTTGCCAGTCGCGTTGCTGCTCAGCGTCCTCTCTGGCTCTTGCAAGACCCTGAGTGGGATTAACTTTTATGCTCAGTTTTCGTCAGCACCGCCGTCGTTGCCCATGCCTTGATGTGATGGCGGGTTCAGGGATGATGCTCCCACGACGAGGGCTGCCCCCAGTTGCTGGCCTGAGTGCACGATTTTAGCGCGCCCTGGCCAGCGGTCGACTCGTCCTGGGAGAGCAGGGGAGCCAAAAGGCGGGACGAGCTGCTGTGATGAAATAATACGAGCCTGTCATGGCCCAAGCGACATCTGGGGCTTCCATCAGGAGTGCACAGGGCCTCTCGACAAGCAGCTGTCGTGGGAATCTCTGCCCAGCGCGTTGTCCAAACACGTCGTTCGCCAACAAGCTATGTACACAAGTCCCCTTGCCCCTTCGACATGGCGCCAGTCTCATCCCTCTTTCCGGGCCGGTTGGAAGCGTTGACGTTGGGCGAGGGAGCCAATCACGACGCCCAAGAGGCGTGAGGGCCTGTCATTGGCACAGCCGGGCTGCAGGCCTTGCTGTCGGCTGTTTTGGGGGGTGATTTCTCAAACGAGAGGGGGGGCAATTAGGGGGGCCTCTCGCTGTTTCAGGCTTTGCGCTTCTGGCTGTTAGCGCCAAGTGTGACCTGGGATGCGGTGTTGGCCCCATCCACCGTGTCAGCCAAACACTGGCTGGGATGACGCTTCCACGGCATGCAGAGGCTGCATTTCAACTGTGCAGCATCACGGAAATAATGATTTGAGCATCTTCCCCATTGTTTGCTTTGCCAGTTCCTTTTACTGCAAAAAGGCCATCATTGTTGCTTCTTTCTTGTGCGCTATGACGGGACTCTCCCAAACTCTGAAGTCGATGCAGATGAGAACGAGATCCACGGACCCCATCGCTAGTTAACCAAATACGAAGATGCAAGAATGGCTCTCATTCGATCAACCAACCATTGTTCCCATGCATGGCGCCAACCATCACCCACTTGCAGCACAAAGCGCTGATGTCTGGATATATGTCCGGCCCAGCCCCAAGAAAGGGGAATTCACCCCCAGCCCCCCGAAAATGGGCTTCGGCACTCAGGCTGAAACACCTCGCTGCACATCATACCCACCGTCAGCGCTTGCATGATCATCGCCCTGAGACAGCTCGATCAACTTATCCTTCCATCACCCTCCTCCGGCGCACCCTGACTGGCCAATCCTCCATCCACCGACATCATTGGCATTATGCACGTTATCACTCTCTCTCACACACACATTCCAATTCCATCTCGAAGCCGTTGATGCGGCAAGGAAAAGAAGAATAATCAACAAATAGGTGGGTTCCATGGAAACCCGCCAACGACTAAACGGATCCGGACGGCGTTTCCCCTGGAAGATTCGTCGAAGTATTCCAGGGACCGGGTTCTGTCAGGAACACCCGAAAGACGGACCGGAAAAGTTCGACGTCGACTCTTTCACCGCACGATATCGGGAACGTCGTTGACTCCTTGCCGATGGGCAAGGGTTGCAGAGCATCGATTCGGGCGGACCGACGATTTGAATCACTATCCATGATGATAGACAATACGGAGTAATAATAATGGCTTGCAGCAATCTTGCGCCACTAAAGACGAATTCCGGTTAAAATTTTACCATGGCCTTTTAAAGAAGTTCAAGAGACGGTCTGGCATCAGTCTCGTGATGCACTATCTCTCAAAGATAACTCGTTAACTAGTTAACAGTTTAGCTGAAATGTTAATTGCAAGTCCCGCTCGCCATCAGATTTCCACGTCGAAGCTACGACAACCTAAAGGATCTCCGCTGGGCATGCAGGTGTCATTCCATAGTTCTGTGCGAGAGCTTAGCCGAAAGTCTGCCCTCAGCCATTCCCTCTTCAGTCGTAGTCTAGCGAGCTAAACTGTGACTTGAGGGCGGGGACCTGCATCTCATGACGATGATGCATGATTGTCTTCACGTCAAGAATTACTGTGGAGCTGGAATCCGAGTCGTGCAGGTACGGAAGAAGCGGAAGTTAATTACAGAAAGATAACTGTCAAAAGATACCCCCCAAGGAGTCATGTATACACGAAGATGTAGATCCTCTCACACAGCGCTATCGCCAGGGAAAGGACCTCAGGGTCGTGGAATCACAACCCAAGACGGCCGCTTTCGTTTCGAATTGCGCTCCCTCGGCGCTCGCTATCCATCTCAGCCCCTGCTTTCCTCAGGCCGAAAAGAAGCTCATCGAGAGACCAAAAAGGACCACGTCCTGCCAAGCTGCTCACAGTGCGAGAAAGAAAGCGGGTCGTCCAGACTCCTTTAAGCAGGTGCGAAAAGGTTGCCTTTCCTTCACGCGGCGAGACCCTCGGGAATCCGACATGAGAAACCTGTCTCCCTGTCTCACCAGGAGTCTTCCAGAATCCAGGCGCACCCTTTCCCGCCACGCGCTGCTGGAAATTGCGGGGAAAACCCGATTCTAGCGGGGCCCAAACTTCCGAGCTAATGAGAAAGCCTTTCTGCATATCTGCGACGCACGGGAGCCAGGAACGAGCATCTGAAACCAGCCTTGTTCTTCCAAATCCCCGTATCTCATGTATGTCTTGGTCTGAAGCTTGCGCCATCACTCCACTCGCAGACTAAGGGACCTCGATCAACACGTGGATTTAGACTCAGAATTGGGCAAAAGTTTGACGAATAGCGCTATTGGCAAGAGATTTTGATATCGATCCAGGTGCGATGGCGATTGCATATTGTTTAGCAACCCCCGCTGATCACCTGCGTCCCTTCTTCTTCCCTTTGCCGATTCGTGACCGTGGCCCCTGAATGTCGATGAGATCCCGCTTGCTCAGCCTCAATGTTCCTCCAGCGAATCTTCCGACTGAAGGCCCGCCGATACCGCGTTCTCTTTTCTGGCTGCTGGTCTTTCGCTTGGAGGTGGGTTTCTCTAAAATAATACCATTCTCCCTCGCTTCGCGACGCCTTGTATCTTCCCTTTTAGCTCCCTTGGCTTCTATCCCTTTTCGATGAGCCATAGGCATCTTCTTCTGTGTGAAGAGTGAGTCAGTCGCTCCAATTCCTTGCATTCGAATGTCAATGGCGCGATGCCGGTTCTTCCCGGTCGGATTGAGGTCATCGGCAGATTCAAGGAGATGAGATTCTTTCAGGAGACGCTGGAGTGCGAGGTCATGCTTTAGGTTTATAGCGTCGGTGGCTTCTTCGTCGTCGGAAGTAGGAACCTTTGTCTTGCTGGTAGATTTTCTCATCTGGGACGAGGATGGTGGTTTGGTTGACTATATATGCGTTGAACCGACGTTAATTTGGGTAAAACAAAGTGCCAATCGACTGCTGAGAGCGGTGCTCGCAGGACATACCATGAAATGTTTTCGAAGCTCCTTTTCATCCTCATGTTTATCTAAGTTATTGGCGCCACTGTGGTCAACCACCTCCGCAACCACATTGGAAGACCAGACTTTGCCCGTGTCGTCATCATCATCACCATCATCATCGGAAATGCCTTCCCATTCTGAAGCAGCGCTACCATCTTCAGATTCTACACCTGAAGAGTCTGCTGCCGACTCCTCATTTTTCTCCAGGTCCTGCAGCGGCTCGAACCGAGCTTCGAAATATCTTCTGAGCAAATCATGAGAGTTGGGTGGAACGACGAGAGGATCCTCCTGTTCAGTAGGTCTAGAGACTACAGCGGTCTCTCGCTTCCGTTTTCCGAGCATATTCAGGCTGAAAAGCTCCCCGTCTTGCTATTCTGCTGGAAACCTTTGCAATTCCGTCGTGAATCCAGAAAAATAAAACCGTGCTTATGTCATTGTCTATCAACACGTGATGTCGCGGGTCGTGATCTTATCGAGGGCTTGGCGGGCATTCTCGTTGATTCACACGCTGAACACTCGCTGCGCTGCCAAAGGATGACGCGGTTTCGCCCCTGCATTGACCTCCATGCGGGTCAAGTGAAGCAAATCGTCGGCGGCACTCTGTCAACGAAACCCGCGGAGTTGAAAACGAACTACGTTTCTGCCCTACCCGCAGCGCACTTTGCGAAGCTTTACAGGGACCATGGCTTGACAGGCGGGCATGTGGTGATGCTGGGTCCTGGCAATGATGATGCGGCGAGAGAGGCATTGGCCGCGTGGCCTGGAGGGCTCCATGTTGCAGGGGGCATCACAGATCAAAACGCAAAGGATTGGATAGACGCAGGTGCTGAAAAGGTGGGCTTGCGATTGCGACCCCTTTGGACTCTGCGCCGCCGTTTTTACTGCATTGGTTTTTTTGCTGGAGATGGGCTTACACGGAATGTCTAAAAATAGTAGGTTGTCATCACATCTTTCCTCTTTCCGGAGGGAAAATTCTCGTTGGACCGGCTCCATTCAATTCTTACGGCGCTCGGGAATGATAAGTCCAAGTTGGTACTGGATTTAAGCTGTCGAAAGAAAGAGGATACCTGGTTTGTTGCCATGAATAGATGGCAGACAATAACGGAAATGGAGATCACCCGCGGTATGTCCTCTAATGCGCAACTCCGACATGCCCCACGATATCAGACGAAACGGAGGCTGACACTTTCTCCCAGAAACAATTCAAATGCTCGAACCTTATTGCTCCGAGTTTCTGATCCATGCTGCGGACGTCGAGGGCCTGCAACAAGGAATAGACGAGGACTTGGTATCGAGATTGGCAGAGTGGTGTTCAATTCCCGTGACGTACGCTGGGGGTGGAAGGGGCCTGGCGGACCTAGATCGTGTCAAGTCAAGCAGCAACGGGAAGGTTGACCTCACGATTGGCAGCGCACTTGATATTTTTGGGGGAAGTGGCGTGACGTTTGAAGAGTGTGTCCAATGGAACAAAGTCAACGATTGCTAGTCGTGCTCTCGGGTCTTTCGGCTCCTTGTGTACTGTTGGTTCCTAAGCACGAGTTGCAGGATATCCTACGGCTATCAAGCGGCATTCCTTGCGTTCTTGTAGTTCATCTGTTGAGAATACCCAGGACAAAGCTGGGAATCCTGAAGGGATAGAGGAGTGTTTTGAATAAAGATCAATTCGAAAATAACCAGCGATTGTAGTATATATGTCCCTCCAGTAATCATGACGGATGTTATGTTTTAAGGGCTGTTAGATGTCGATCGGTGAGATGGGATCGATTTGGGACTTCGTCAATTACGCAAAGTCCACGCGGAGCTGACTAGTGAAGTCACCAGCATTAACCACCACCAGCTTTGCTCCATATCCATCATCAAGACCCTAGTTATCGGCTTTCCTATTTCTCTTGCCTGAGAACATCTTGACAGAATTATTTTATCTGTATAATTAACCAGCGCCCCTTGATCCTACCACTCGTCGACTTCCGCAACGATGAAGCCTGTCGTCTCCGCGCTGAATGCGTGGAGTTGGTACGAACGAGCACCTCCATCATTCCTCGTCCAGATTACACTGACTCGAACCTCTTCTCCTTTTGATATAGCCTCGTCATCTCCATCTTCGCCGTCATCATCCTTTCCGTCATCGGTTCCTTTTACAAAGTATGCCTCCAATCTGCCGATTTCACTACCCCCGGGAATCCCGATACCTCCTCGTCTTCAATGCGAAAAGCAATACATAGATGGGCTAAGCTAACGGATTCCGCACCTGCAGAAAAACCACCACTCGTTTCTGGGCTCAAAGGATGATCCAAAGGATGGCGCCGCGGTCGCAGGATCGATTTTCACTGCTGTATTGGTATATGTCGTATGTCACTGGGATATTTCTAGCAACTCCGCCGTTGTCCTTCCTCTCACGATATGCCGCCCTTCTTCACATACCCCTGATATATTCCTGCGGCTGGATTTCTGGAAGATGGTATTCTAACCATGGACAAACACGCTCTAGGCTTTCGCGGTATTCTGCGGCTTCCAAGCATACCTCCACATTCGTTCGAGCCGAAGAGGGGCGATATCCTTGAATTAGAGTGTATAGAATCGGACAGCAGATGGGTATCCATTGCCTACGGCATCAAATTTAATACGAAATTTTATTATGGTTTCTTCCCTTTTCAAAACGGTCAGCGGTGCATTCGGTTCTCTTCGGAATTCTTGCGTTTGGAATCCCTTCATTCTTTCACAGGGCAGGGGGGAAAGGCTTTTTGACGTTGTTAGGCGCATAATGTTTTCGCCTCGTTTCGATATTTCTCGTTGCATTATGTACTGTTTTGTATATCTATAGAGGAAGCCTTTCCTACTAGAAGTTTACTTTCATATGACACCAGTCAGATTGTATTATCGGGGCGCGCCTCCGCTCGTCTCGCAATTGAATATGGCATAGTGGATCAGGCCACCGGAATCTAGCCATAAATCTAATCACAGGGTATTGTTTGGCAGCAAAGATAATGTAGAAATAGACGGCCATCTATTGACAATTTTACAAACCAACAGAAGACTAGATACGGATTTAAACCGTTATCGGTTCCAAAAGCCTAAGATCTATCATAGTGGACACCTTCGACAACAGTTCATTGTTCAGAAGTGATGTCAGCTGCTCAGAGACCTCCTCAACTAGCATGGGAAGCACCAAAACAGGAGAGCACTATTACTTTCGATGGCCTTTTCCAATATATTGCGTTGTATCATGATCGTATCATATCCCATCAACGCCTTGAACCCATTGAACACTCGACCACAATTGCTACCGCCCGTTGAACAACGCCATTCCAAAAAATGCAATCAAGCCACGCTTTTATCTTAGCATTCATCATCCTCTGGCGTCATCGGATCGAGCATTTTGCTCATATACGGCCCATCAAGCCAATACCCAAGTTTTGCATAGTAACTCCTGACCCCAACACCAGATATGACGCTGAGCTTTCGGCTACCATGCTCGTCTCTAGCTATCCTTTCCGCCTCCTCCATCAGCAACGTTCCGAATCCACGGTGCTGGAACTTTCGAGGATCGCGACCATGAACGGGGACAGCTGAACCCATAAACATGCAGCTCGCGAACCAAACTGGTTGGCTGGCCAGTCAGTTCGGGGCGGAATGTATGCGTGGAGCTACATTTACGTAGACGAAGCAGTCCAATAAGGATATCTTGTTTCGGGTCTTCGTAGGCGAGGAACGTCTCCCATCCGCCGTTGGCAACGTAATCGCGTCGAATCAACTCGACCTGGCTAGGTCGAATTTTGTTCTTCACTTCGTTAATTCCAACTTCTCGAGTTCGTACGTCCCGGCAGGTGGTGCCGAAATCTTTCATCCTGCTGAGCGCTAGTTCACGAAGATTACCATTTTCCACGCCAGAGGTAACGAGAGGCATAGGGATATCACGCTGTACGCGGTAAATGCGAGTCCATGGGGGAACCAGTGCGAGAATTCGGGCGACAATGTCAATCAAGGCGTTAGGAGTATAATTCTTATAGCGACCAGTCCGCCAAAGTTCATAAAGCCCGGTGCCTCGAATAACAAGTGTTGGATATATTTTGAGACCGTCAGTCCGGAAAGCTGGATTCTCGAAATATTCTTGAAATTGGAACAAGTCTCGTTCCATTCCCATATTTGGAAGATCTGGCATCATGTGGCTCACTACTTTGAACCCTGCATCTTTCGCCAGCTTGAATGTCTCTGCGACAGCCGCCACAGTGTGACCCCGGTTGGTATCGCGCGCAACATCTTCGTACAGACTCTGCACACCTATTTCCAATCGTGTGCAGCCGTATCTGAGCATAGCGCTCAGATGCGTATCTAAACAATAATCCGGACGGGTTTCAATCGTGATCCCAACACACTTTGTGTTGCTCATTTCGCCGGCCTGGACCGCCTCGTCAACATTGTTCGTTTGGTACCCGCTGAGCGCATTATGTAGTTGCGAGATGAATTCGTCTCGATAATCCTCTGGCAGGGACATGAAGGTTCCACCCATGATAATATATTCCACCTTGTCAACGCTGTGTCCAAGGGACCTAATCTGATCGACCCGTCCTCGCGCCTGCTCAAAGGGATCATATCGGGCTCGAATGGCACGCATCGACGTGGGTTCATATCCGGTGTACGACTGAGTGGAATATTCGAAATCTGAATCGGGGCCGCCAGGACAATAAACACAAATGTTTCCCGTATATGCAATATGAGGGCATCGATGGGGTTTGCACATCACAGCGACAACCGCGATACCAGAAGATGTTCCTGCAAAACCAACTAATCAGCTTGGTTATATCGGTTTTGATTGCGGACGAGACTTACTGATCGGCTTCGCAATCAGTTTCGGTAAGATATATTTCTTATAATGTTCCGGGACCGCTGCGATTATTGCCGTAAGTGGCGGCTGAGTGCTTAAGCTGTGTTTCTTCGAGATTTGACCCCGCAGCTTGTTGAGGTTGATATCTTTCTTCGGCTTGCTGGGATCCCTCTGGGCTTCATAATCCTGTATCAGAGCATTTGCTATGTCCGAGCATGCCCGCATATACCGTTCATTTTCAGGAGGGAGTTTCGCGGCCTTTGGAAGCTTGCGCTGCTGCGTGGCGGGACGTAGAGTGAGCGTCTCCGTTGCCATATTGACGGCTCCCCGGGTGCTGTTGAGTATCTCACGAGACGAAAAACGAAAAGCCTGGTTTATATTGTATAAGACACGCCGGTCCGGTCAGCGCGATGGCACAAGCGAAGCTGTGGGGAATGTAAAGGCATTCAGTCCTGCTCCCGCGTTTCTTCGACGTAGAAAGTTTTGCGTTGGCCGCCGCCCGCAAAAACACACTTCCACCCGTCGCAGCCAAGAAGACATTTGCCATCTGCAACCAGCGCAAACATCATCAAAAATACTCCCAGGAGCCCATCCGAGCTCTCCACCTCCGCGTTCTCTTTCTTTTCTCTCGTTTTTGCTTTAGACGCCTATTCTTCAGCAATGCAGTCCTTCAAGCGCAGTACGCTCTCTGCTCTGCAGAACGCCGCCCGCGCCCAGCGCCGCGGATACAGTAAACCAACGTCTGCGTACGCCTCAACGGTCGAGAATCTCCGGATCAATAGCGAGACAAAGGTCCTCTACCAGGGATTTACTGGAAAGCAGGGAACGTGAGTGCGGAACTATGCTTTAGGATACTGGATAACAACATTGGTGCTGATATGTGTCCTCAATGCCAGATTCCACGCCCAGCAGGCCATCGACTATGGTAGTTCCGTTCCGGCTGTCGCTGTGTTGTCCGTCGAGACCCAATTCTAATATACCCTAGGTACCAAGGTCGTCGGCGGTACGAATCCCAAAAAGGCTGGAGAAATGCATCTCGATCGTCCAGTGTTTGCAACGGTGAGAGACGCTATCAAAGAAACTGGCGCCAATGCTTCCGCCATCTTTGTTCCGTACGAGGCTTCGTATTCTTCGAGAGTCTCCTCCTTTTCACTGACGATACTTTAGTCCTCCGGTGGCTGCAAAGAGTATAGAGGAGGCAATTGAGGCAGAGATGCCGCTTGTCGTTTGGTATGTAACCTTGGGTATCAACCACCACTATTTACATTCGCTAACTTCGATTCCAGCATTACTGAAGGAATCCCGCAGCACGGTACAGTGTCAATCTAGGCGTCTCCTGAGAACTTCAGCTAAAACCCCCCAGACATGGTTCGCATTACCGACATCCTGAAAACGCAAAACAAAACTAGATTAGTCGGTCCTAACTGTCCTGGTATAATCGCTCCGGTATGTGATATCCGCTCTTACCGCGATGTTTCGATCGAGACTGGACTGAATTGTGTTTATTATTAAGGGCCAATGCAAAATTGGCATCATGCCTGGATTTATCCACAAGAGAGGACGCATCGGCATCGTCTCACGATCTGGAACCCTTACATACGAGGCTGTGAATCAGACCACCCAAGCTGGCCTTGGGCAATCCCTCGTTGTCGGGATTGGTGGTGACCCGTTCTCCGGCACCAACTTCATCGATTGCCTCCGCGTCTTCCTCGAAGACGAGGAGACCGACGGTATCATCATGATTGGTGAAATTGGAGGTAGCGCCGAAGAAGATGCCGCAGAGTTCTTCAAAGCTGCCAACAAAGCAAACAAGCCGGCTGTTGGTTTCATTGCCGGTATTAGTGCGCCTCCCGGCCGCCGAATGGGCCACGCAGGTGCTATTGTGAGCGGCGGCAAGGGCGGAGCCGACTCGAAAATTGCTGCTCTTGAGGCGGCGGGTGTCATCGTCGAGCGGAGCCCAGCTGCCCTTGGAAAGACCTTGCACGCTGAATTCGTGAAGAGAGATTTGATCTAGAGGATTTGAGGTCGTTGATTAATTCGTTCCTCGCACACAGCAAGATGTATTCTGTATTGTGATTTTCTGCGAAGCCCATTTGATTGATTCCCTGATTGCATTACCACTGTGACATATAACTGTGTGCTTCATTACTTTGAGTTATTAGACCTGTATCCAAACAAAATGTTCATTCGCCTTCAATTCTTGGACGGAGCAAAGCAGGCCATACTTCTTTCTACCGTTACCATAGACGTACACAGCAGCGGCAGTACTATTTATTACCGCGTCGAATGCCTGTGTTGACTATAATCCACTTGCTTCCACTTCAACAAACTCACGGTAAGCCATCTCGGAAGCGCAACCTTGGGGGTCCTGTTTCCAATGCCTCTGCGTCTTGAGGCTTTACTGCCTCCAGCATACCATCCAATCGGCCGAGTGGTGTAGTTGGTTATCACGTTTCGTTAACACCGAAAAGGTCCTGAGTTCGAGTCTCAGCTTGGTCAGAATATTCTTTTTTGCTATTCGCCTCTAAGGGCTCGTTTTTTGGTTTCGCTCCTGAGATGTATTGAGTACGGAGTAATATGACAGCTTGACGAAATGTCTGAGTGTAGCAGGGCCACCAACTTCTCACAAACCCCAAAAGAAGGTCTGGCCACATAAAAGCATAGAACTTAGAAGCACAATATTCATCATGAACCTGCTCCCCAGGCACACTGTTGCTGCCACCACAAACGCAAACCTAGCTATGCTGAAGAAAGTAGCAACAGCAACATTGGATGGGCCCTAGACAGGGGTAGGTTCCTTCTTTTCGACCAGTCTCCAACAGAGAAATACTGACTCTGGACTTTGTAGCGTCTTTCCGTATGAATTTAGGATGGGGTGGTCCGATTGGTGCAGCTGGGCTGATTGTTGGGTTCACTGCTGGGTTTGTATTCCATCGTCCTCGTTAGAAAATATGTTGGTAGTATTTGGAGCTTTGGTGTTTCTGCCCTTTTCTTGTAACCTCTTACACTTGGGACTTGCTATTTTGCATGGGGATATTATGTTTTTTTTACAGCAAGCGTGCTCTTCCCCTTTTTTCTGTATTTCTTATTTCGATTATTTACGGCCACCTAGAGCATCCGGCGCAAAAATTCAAGCATAAGATTCAGGTTTTGGCGTCACCATTGAAACAAAACAGCGGAATCAACATATCGAATACATCATGCATTAGTAGTTAACCTAGCCCTCGCCCTCTTCTTCAGCTTCTCTCAGTCTCTGTATATCTAAAGAACAAACACAGCGCAGGCAAGACACTGGAGATGCCGAATTCCAGCTATTCGAGAACCAAAAATATAATAATAGCAAAACGTTATTTTGGAACCGAGAAATCAAATTGGAACGGAGAAGGGAAAAGAGAAGAAGAAGAGAGCAGCCCCAAAAAGGGGCAAATAATTCTCAAGAAAATCATTTCTTTCCACCCCATATGTAACAAGTTTAACAATTCATTTCATTCCGCCATCCCACCGGTTTGCCACCCGGCTGCCCCTTTTCGCCGGAAATCAAAAATAAAAGTAGAAAAGCCATCATCCCAAGGGAAAGAAGAGCCTCAACGCCGACCTCGCATGGGAGCAATGCCGTGGGATTCAAGATTTGAGAATGAAGCCCCAAAATATTGCCAGGTACATTTAGAACACAAAAATTGAAAAGAAGTTATAAAGAGGTTTCATCGGAAGACCATTCATTAGGACGTTTAAAGAGTCGATGGTGCTGGTAAGACGAGAAATTGTTGTCAAACAATCAATCCCGCAGCCCATTCAGGAACAAAAACTTCCCAATCTCCACTATCATTCATCGTCACTAACGGCGGCGCTATCATTCCCGTTTGTTTTCGAGTTATTGAACGTCAGCTTGAGTTTCTGCGATGACGCAGCACCGGATGCAAGAGGAGTTCCGGCGCTCGAAATAGGCGCGGTTGATCCGTCGACGGAGTCATCAAAGTCTGCGAAGTCAGGGTATTTTTCTGTCTCCTTCTTCAATGCTGCGATACAAGCGGTCTGAAACAGAATTAGCATGGAGCAAATAAAACTATTGGTGAATGACGTTGTCTCTAGCTCACCTCAATCTGATTCGCGTCCTGGAAAAGAACGCTGCCATCCTCATTGTAGGTCCTAGCATTATTGCACAGCAGCCTAATATCATCCAAGAACTCCCGTAAACTCTGGTATTCATCGCGGTTTATTTTCCGCTTGATAGAATCCATGGCAATGGGATTTTGGATAATCATATAGTAATCCGGGTAATGGGTTTTTGGCGGCGGCTTTAGGAACGGATCGATAATGGGACGCGTGCTCGGTTCATCATCAGTATCCGAAGAATCAGCAGGCACTTCTGCCTGTAGGCCCATGATTATCTTGTAAACCCTATTGAGAACCGTTTGCAAAATCTCACGGTCTGAGTTATTTAAGGTCTCGGTTGCCGCAGCGGCCGCGGCGATCGCAGCTTTGCTTTGTCTCCCCCTCCGGCGTTTGCTAGGCGCCTCATCAATTACCTCGTCTGCCTTTCGCTTGGGTACAGGGCCCTTGCGTCGTCCTTTACTTCGTTGTGGCGTGGCAGAGGCTTCTCTGGACGGCTCTGGGGATGACTCCGCGCCCTGAGTTCGTTTAACCCGTTTCTCTTTATTCGCCCGTCTCCGCTCTAATTTAGCTTCATTTCTAGCGATTGCCTCTTCAATGGTGTCATCTTCTGCATCTACCGCCATGAGCCACTGCTCCTCGGTGAGGCCATCATCGTACCTCATCACCTTGCGCTCACGAGCGCCCCGACCGGTGACTTCTTCGGGCTCCTCAGTGACAGGGTTGCCCTCTGCTAGATAGATATCGGGAAGTTCATCTTCACCCATTAAACGAGGGTACCGATGTCCTTGGCCGTAACGATCAGATTTTAATCTCTCTTGATCAAGTTTCTGGAAAAGGACAAGCTCCTCATCGGATCGAGCCATGATATCATTAAGATCGTCATCGTCCATCTCGTCCTCATTGCCCGCTTGATCGGCAGAATCGGCAGTTTCAAGGAGGGTACGTAGCAGAGCATCACGCTCCTCGTTCGTCGACTTATTATCGAACTTGCCCGCTTGGATGACCTTGCCATCCATGTCCAACTTGAACTGTGCTCGTTCCAGAATCCTCTCCTCTACGGAGTTGGAGCTGATTAACCGGAGAATGCGAACCTCGTTCTTCTGACCAATGCGATGGGCACGATCCTGAGCCTGAAGATCTTGATGAGGGTTCCAATCCGAGTCGTAGATGATGACAGTGTCGGCGGTTTGCAAATTTAAACCAAGACCACCGGCTCTCGTAGAGAGAAGAAAGCAGAAGTAATCAGATCCAGGGGCATTAAAAAGCCTCAATAATTCAGATCTATCATCAGATTTGGTAGAACCGTCAAGGCGAAGATATTTGAGGCCTCGGAAGCGCAAGAAATCTTCCATGATATTCATGATCTGAGTCATCTGGAAGAACATCAAAACACGATGTCCTGAGGCCTTGAATTTTGGAAGAACACGGTCAAGCAGTTCGAATTTACCAGCGGTACGCCAGATAAGATCGTTCGTGCCCTTTCCGGGGTTCATTTCCTCCTCCACCGATTCGAAGACAAACGGATGATTACACAGCTTTCGGAGCTGCATAAGCATGTTGCTTAATCCACGCATGCCAGTCTTGCCGCCCTTACCGTCGCTGACCACCATTTTGTTGTGCGTCATCAGCTGCTTATACAATTTGGCTTGTAACGCCGAGAAACGACATTTGATAACACGCTCCTGTTTATCAGGAAGGTCCTTTTCGACATCCTTCTTCAAACGGCGGAGAAGGAATGGTCGAAGAACCTTATGCAAACGTCTGATAACGAGTAGCTGTTCTTCTTCTGAGAGTTCCATGCGATCCTGACCGCCAGTGTTGGCAAATGGAGTGTTAAACCATTCGTCGAACGATTTCACAGATTTGAAAATGTTTGGAAGGACGAAGTTAAGCAAAGCCCAAAGTTCGGGTAAGTTGTTTTGCAGCGGAGTACCAGTGAGAATTAGTCGGTAACGCGAGGTATAGTATTGAGTGAGAGTCTGCGTCAGTTTCGACTGGGTATTCTTCATTCTATGACCCTCATCAACAATCATATGAACCCATTTGACCTTGCTCAAAATGGGCCGGTCCTTGATAATGTATTCATATGTCGTTAATAATACTTGGAACTGACCCCACCGAATGGCTTGCTGCTGCGCTTTGCGACTATTAGGTGGTCCCTTGTAGACGATCCGACTAACCGAGGGCGCCCATTTCTCAAATTCAAGAGTCCAGTTAGTTAGAGTACTAAGCGGAACAATCACCAAGAATGGCCCGTTTTGCTTTTTCAATTCGATCAAATACGTGATTAAACTGATAGTCTGGATGGTTTTGCCGAGACCCATCTCATCGGCTAAGATACCGTTGAGATTGTTATTGTAAAGCGATATCATCCATTGAAGGCCTCGGAGTTGGTACTCTTTGAGAGTACCGCCAACAAGAATGGACGGTTGTGCGGTGACATCTTCCTTGATTCTGTGCGCCACAGCGTAATAATCGACTTTGCGGCTTTCACCCTCTTCATCCTCTTCATCCGACTCAATTTCGGACTCTTCATACATGTCCTCGTTTCCTCCATATCTCTCTGCCTGAGTTCTCTGTTGTTGTTTTACAGAGTGAGCTAACTGTTTGAGGAAGCCATCTGTTTGTTTGAGCAGATGCGAGATACGGGAGTCCTTGGCTTGTCCAAGCAATTTCATATATGTCTCTTCATCGTTTGCCTTCAAGGCCTGGAGACGCTGCTTGGCTGTTCTCTCAACACGTTTCTGCTCTTCACGCTCCATATCATGATGATGGCGAATCATCATCTGGCCAAGTTTCTGCGATCGGGTCCGTTGCTGAATTCCAGCATTAATAACCTCACGACCATGAGTAAGGATTGCTTGGAGCTGGTCGTATTGTTTCTTCTTCTCCTTCGTCTCACGCGCATCCCGCTGTTGCTTTTCTAGCTTCTCGGTGACACGTGCCTCACGCAGCGATTGTTTTTTCATTCGTCGGTGGCCGCTGCGATTAGCGGACATAATCAAATTGTCGTAATGGATCATTTCATGCTGAAGTTTCTTGCGCAAAAGCCTCTGCTTTGGAAGAAGGTTGAGCATTTTGTGTTCAATCAAAGCTTTTAACTTTACCGAATCATCAATTATATCCGGTGAGTCGCTTTTGGTAGTATCCCATACACTGAGGTTCGCAGGTAGCCTAGCCAATTCCGCCTTCCGTGCAGAGATACGATTATACAAGATGATTTCTCTTTCCTCCCGCATTTTATCTAGGTCGGCACCGATAGGCATGAGGCTGGGGATCCTGGGTCTATACTTGCGCATTGAGTGGCTGCCATAGCTGATACTAGCTGGAAGTGCTTCGTAGGGTGACTGGAACGTCTGATACATAGCTTTGGGCACGGTCGTCAGCGCCGTATCCGCCTTGGTTCCAGTTTCGCGAGTTTGGCTGGTCCCATCAGACGCACCATCCATCGAAACAGTGCCATCAGTGCCACCAATGGCCGTGCTCTTTTTGTTCACAAAGAGCTGCTGCTGTACGCGAGGTGGGATGGCTAAATTTTTCGACAGCATTTTAAACGCAAGAATCTGATTTTTCAGGATTGTGAGTTGTTCCGGTGTGAAGCTACCCGTTCCCGTCGTGGCGCCCTTTTGACTTGTAGAGGTCGCAGGTGTGGAGCTGGATTGTCCAGGCGCGGAGTCTGGCGCAGTAGAGCTGTTTCTACTGACGGATCCATTTCGCCCTATTTGAGGAAGGAAGGCAGGGTCAGTCTCACTTGACATAAATATTTAATAGCAGCGCAGATGATGTACCATCAACTGCATTGAGGACATTCTCAGCGGAAACGCCATTTGTATGTGGCGGAGCCGGCTGCTGTGCCTGCGCCTGTGCCTGTGCTTGTTGTTGCTGCTGTGCTTGTTGTTGCTGCTGTTGTTGTTGTTGCTGCTGCTGCTGCTGGGTCTGCTGCAGACGTTGCGCTTGCAATTGTTGTAGCTGGCGTTGCTTATGGAGGGCCTGTTGGCGCTGAACAGCTGACAGCAGGTTATGGGCTTTGAGGAACTCGGGATCGTCGGGGCGAACGCCTTGCTCTTGCATTTGCCGATATTTCTAATGCCATATCAGCATGTGGCTGGAAGAGCTTGTGGTAATGGGGGTGAGAGTGGACAGGTGGAAAAAGGTGGACGGAAAGCCCCAAATTGCGATCACTCTGCTTACCTGATAGACTTCCTGAATATGTTGCTGGGTGAGATTTGCAGGAAGACTTGGTTGCAAGGCCGCCATGTTGGGGCCTGTCTGAAGTGAAGCCATTGTATCTCAGCGCAACGGATTCATGAACAATTGTTGGTCGCCCCGGCGTGGTGAAAAATTTCGCTATCAGAATCTGGCGCTGGGAGCGACGCTAGACGGAGGAGGGGAGGGTCGCAAGGGTTACTATTGTACAGATATCCGATGACTATGGGCGGAGCGCGAGTATACGGGCAGGAATGCGCCGCGCAGGACTAACGTCCGATGTTCTTTGATGCTTGGCAGATAAGATTCCCTTTAAGCTATGGCGGAGCGGCACCGAACCAACAGGAGGCAAAATAGAAAATACATGCGAGGAGTTGGCACGGGGACAATGGGGGGTGCTGGAGGGGGGAGGCGTAGCGAAAGGGAGCGGACGCGCGAGGTGGATATGCTAGGGGGTCTGGTGGATGAAATGGCGATGGAGGGAATCAGCCGTCGCGAAAACAAGCCGTGGAAGGACGGAGAGCCTGGTGATGGGAGAATGGAAACAGCAACAAATCCTGTCCCGACGGGGGCGTCACGTGGGATGAGTAAGCAGCCGCCGTAAGGGGAAAGCCGCGTTTCAGCTGGGATGCTGAGTCAGCGTATCTCTGGGCTGCAGGCTGCATTCTGATATTCTTGATATCGCGCCGGATGGCAGCAATCAGACGAGGAGCCAGGACCGTCTGGGCGGGAGATGTATTGCTTTGGCCATCCACTATGGAATTTTGTACAAAGATTGCAGCCGGATCCACGGATGATATCAGGCAGCACATGATGGCTTTTCCCATACAGTGAATGGGCTCTATCTAGCCGTGAAATGCAAAGCCCTATCGCGGCGTGTGAATCTGAGCTTCCTGAAATGCTCTCTCTCTATACATTGCTTGATTTAGTTGCTTTGGCGGCTATAACAAACAGAGCTGATGCACAAAACATGCGTGTGCTCCGGGCCCTTCGACGACTAAGCATGCCAACGATGCGATAACTTGGGCTCACCTCCCACCTTCTCTTCTCTTTCTTCACTTCATGTTACTGCAAGCAGGTTCAGCACATCCATTGTCTGCCTGTTCTTTCTCTTCATCATTCTGTGCAGTCCGTTTGCAACTCAGCGCCCTCTCCAGCTTGACATCTTCAACTTGTTTTCAATCCTCGCCATGGCTCATGACCTTGAGGCTGAAGCCCAGCGTCTTTTGCGGGTATTTGCTCATTTGGGGCCCGAGGATCTACCACAGATAGCCTTTGGCCCATCGGCGAAGGAGGCGTTCGACACGCATGTGTTCATGACTGCCATTTTTAGGCGGGCCATTTGCGCTACTGCAGTCGCCGACGAGCTTTTGTTGAAGATGCAAGCTGTGGGCTTCAGGAGGGACCCTTGGACAGCGGAAATCTTGATTCATCGAATTCAAAACAACCAAGAGCTCCAACGCGTGATTGTCGACTTTGCAAAACTTTGGCTCATGGACTTTATCCTGCCCTGTAAGCTTCCCCTATCTAGGCTCATTCAACCGGATGTTGCTCGCACACTAAGTTGGATTGGCAGTGATGGACAAGGGAACGCGGTCGTTCGAGTCTACTGACTCTCAAGGCTGCTATAAGCTGGATATCGACGTAAGCTGCATAGGGTCAGCAAGATTCTCTAGCAGAAAACTGACTTTTAGGTCTAGGTGACCACTCGAGAAATGGAACGCTGTGCCATTACCGGAATCTATAGCAGCCAGGCGTTCACCCCTAGTACCAAAGACGAATATGGCAAGCTGATGTGTATGCGAATTATTCCTGAAAACGTCCGCCACAACGAACAGGCTCAACAACTTATTCGCATCTTCACCGGCGGCCTCATCAACACGGTTCGCGAGAAGATCAACACTGCCGAAAATGCCATCCTCATGTCTGAAACCATCACAGAAACTTTTCGGAACTTCCAGTGGTCCCTGAAGCCAGCGCCAAGAAACAATCGAGAGACTATCAGGTCCAACCTCGTCGTGGAACGCCTCGCTCCTTTCCAAGTTCCAAAGATTGCAGCCCTCCGGCCAGACAGCCCAGTAATCCTCGGGGATAACGTTGCCAGTATGACCGTTATTTGCCCTTCGCAGGACCTTTGTCGTTTGCACCTTGCTGCAGCGCAAATTGTCGATGATTGCCGCCTTTTCTCAGCCATCGAGAGATACTTCAACTAAATCGGGTAGCTCACAGGTAAAATGCGGCCATTTGCTCCCTCCGTTTTAGGAATTCGTTAGGTGGCTGTCCGTTGAGCTCTTCAAGGCGCATGGTAAATGTTTTTCCAGCAACGCAAATCTGTTTTCAGTATATGCTTAATTGATGGTCAGAGACGTCCTTTGTAGCATGGTTACCAAGGAGCCATATTAGCAGTTTCTCAATCCTGAAACAAGGTTCAAAAGGGCGTGTATGCACACTTAAATAGGTGATAGCGAAATTGATATTCATTATTGCTGGAAGTAAGCTTGAGCAGACTTGAAAAAGGCTTTAACGTCAGAGCATACGCGCATCCACGGGATTTCAGAAACCAAAGGTTGGATCAAGTCACCACCAGCCGTAGCGCCTCCATGTTCTTACAAAGCAATCAGTTTTCAAAACGCCGTTTTTCTGATGGAACTCCTTGTAGCAGTGTAACAGAAAAAAATCAGAGACTGGACAAACGTTTAAAAATAAAGGAAAAATGAGAACTTCCCATCAAACTCGTACAAGCAGGGGGGCGCCAGGTCACCTACATCTCCGTTGGTCGAAGGGTATTCCTCTTCGGAGGCGGTGGTGGCGGAGGTTTCTTCGCTCTAACAGACGACTGCGAGGAAGACACCCCATTGCCATTATACAAGGCCATGCTCACAGGCCGAGTAAGGGGGTGCCCAGTCGACGCCGAGATTGAACCAGATACATAGCGCTCCGGACTCACTCTGCCGTACGGCGATGACGCGCCGTCGTCGACGGATCCCGGGTGGCCATCGTAGTTTCTGCTGTTGGCTGCGCGAAGAGGGGAGCGGGTGCTGCTGATCGAGGCGCTGTCGCTCACGACGCGGGATGAATTGGGGGGAGATACACGGCCGCGGAGTTGGAGGGGTCCTTCGAAGGTGGAGGTGCGACTGAAAGATGGCCTTTGGGACGAGGATTCAAGGCAGGAGGAAGTGGTGCGGGTAGGCCTAATGGTTGGGCGAGGTTCCAGGGGCTCATCGGCAACTGGTTCGAACCGGTCATGGAAGGAATGTGCAGTTGTGGTTCGGGATACGGTTGATCGTCGAACGGGTTGATGGCTGGTTAATGGGTTAGCTGTTTGCAGAGAGAAAATAGAGGGATGTTCCGGCTTACCCAACCGGCCACTCGTCTCTCAACTGTAGGAGAACGTCTCGACACTGGTCATGGTAATTCAGTTGAGCGTCGAAGAATGCTCGAATATCCGAAATATTATCTGCTTCTGTCTCCCTGATATCCTGCATGCGTCGATATACGTCCTCATTAGCTTCTTCGTATTTCACTTTCTGCAGGCGTAATTCCTCCTCCACGCGAAAATCTTCTCGTTTGGCCTTTTGCATTTTTGCTAGGGACGTATCATATGCTAGGCGGCGACTTTCGAGCTTCTTCCTAGCTGCCTACAAGGGGAAGCATCGTCAGAAAGGGCGCTTTTTGCAACACTCGGAGATTCGACCATACCTGATACTCTTTCATCTGTGCAAGCGACCTGTCCAGCGACTCCAGCCAGCTAGATGTCGCATCCACCACATACTGCTCTTGAATCCTGGCACAGCGCTCGTTTGTCCTGCCAAAACCTATCAATCGTCAGCGACAGGCGTCCTATCAAAAGATCAAGGGCAATCCTTCAAGTATACTCACTGATAAGACACTGCCCAAACTCCGAAGTGCTTTCAAAGTCCTGTCCATGATTCACCATTGTTCCGCCCAGATACCCGATAGGAAACAGTTTCCCGCCGTCCCCTTCGTTTCGTTTAGAGATTGCCCGAACATATGCAGTCATGGACCTATGAAGTCGCTCCAACCCTACATCCAGGTTAGAAATAGTCCTCAATCATCATCACACCGATCAAGCGGTGAGACGCCGGCATACCTTCTTGCCTCAAGGCCATCTCAGCCTCCATGGCTTTGAAATCATCGGACACATTTGTCTTCACCTCTCCGCCCATACGTTCCCCAGCCCACTGCTTGAAACGACCGAGCTTCTTGTTGACGTTCATTGTGCTGTCTTTCGAGATTGTATCTGCGAATCTATGGTCTGTGGTATAACGATGAAGCTTTTGAGGATGATGGCGGAAAGGATTGCTAGGCAACCAAGTCCCTCCGAACGATTGATGGTAGCTTTTATTCGATGATGTCAATAAAACACATCAAATGAATAGCAAAGGAGCCAGGGACAAGACTGCCTGAATAAAAGAATGAGGGTGTATCAAAGAAGTCGATAAATGCAATATTGTTCTTGTGTTCAGAGAGTCGGGAGATGAAGAGGCAACGGTGTGTAGGGTCTCATTCACATATTAATAACAAGGAAAAAGGGGAGTACAAGAAGACAACAACCGCCACTAGCAATCAAGGAACTCTCTGATCATTCCTGTAATGCGCATCTCTCTACCCGCCTTGATCAACATGGATGAAGAAGCGTCAAAAGGAAAACGCCCTGATGGCCCCCAGCGAACAACCAAAGCCAATCGCCCAGAGGGAAATGAAGGACACCAAAAAGGTCCCAGTGCACTCGAGTTTCTGGCCCCCGGCGCCAATCCTCACGTCCCCTGCCCAAGCACCCGCCAGAAGATCGGATTCGCAGGGTTAGGGCGGGGGAGTGGACTGTTGCACTGACGTTTGAGATGGCGGTTTGATTGCGGTCGCCTCAGAGTCTGGTTCTTCTCTTGTTCCATCCAGGGCGCAGATCGAGACCCCCTGTCTAGCACCGACACTGTCGCTGGCGACTGGTTGGCGGTGGAGCACTGGCCTGACCGGCGAAGATGAAACGGGCTCGCCCTGGCACGCGTCAAGGCTGGGGTTTGGCTCTTCACTGGATGGAGATGGCTTGTCTTGGATTTCTTTTCTTTTTCTACGAACTTGGCTCGACGGGTTCAGGCTGGGCCTGGACTCCATACCAGCTGGAGCGTCAAAATCAGATAAGTTGCAAAGTTGACAGAGATGTTTTGACTACCGCATCTACGGAGTACCAGTTAGGGCAACTGGCTAACTATCGGTCGTTTAGATTTGCCCCCTGCCACCTCCTAGTCGCTGTTCCTCAGGGATGACTTCGTGTCCCGGCACTTATTAGAAATCCATTCATATGGGCGCCTGGGAGGAGTTACAACTGGTCGATACGCACCGAGACTGTCAGAAAAGCACATTCTTGAAAACATCGTCCATCTTCTTCGAATCGCAGGAATGGGCTGCCCGGATTGACCTATAAAAGAAAATTAATGCTGCAGATTTTGGCTTCGGGTCTTTGGCTAGAAACAAACGGAGCGGAGTATAAAGAAGAAATAAGAGCCCGATGCCCACAATCGATGGCGATAGTCGATGCCTCGATTACTCAGAACTGCCATTCCTCACTGCATTCCACATTCGCTGCACCTCAGGTAACCCCCATTTTCTCATCCACTCAGACTTCACCACATCCTCAATTGTAGCCCGCGTGCTGGGCTCTAGAACCAACATTGATTTCATCATATCATGGAATGCCTTTTCCTCCTCTGGTGAGAAAATATCATACTTCTTGTCCTTCCTTGAACTGTATATTTCTGCAGGGAATCGCTGATTTCAATCTCTGGAAGTGCTGCTGTACCATTGGTGAAGCTCTTCCTTCACATTCTTGTTCCCAAGGTCATCAAACCATTTGCTTCTACTTTCCCATTTGTTCCACCACCGATCTGGAAGCTTACCAAGCATCTCAACATGCTCAATTGTGACTTCATCCAGTGTGGCAGGAAGGGCGAAAATGGTGGGTTAATCCAAAAAGCTCCCATATGGCACACGCAAGAGTCCATATATCCCCTGGGAAAGACAAAGGTTCATCTGCCCCAGCTTCAGCAAAAAAGGCTTCAGGTGGTGCCAGCAGAAGTGGTGTATGGGCAACAAACTGTTTTGTTACTTTGGGGCTGAAAGCCTCCCCAAAATCTGCGATTTGAATAGGGGAATCAGCAAGTGTGATCTCATCACTCCCAAGTCCAAGCCATACAGGTACAATAGCTTCAGGAGGAACCCCATCATCAAGAGGAGCCCCATCATGATGAATAATAAACTCTTTGGTTGGTTCTCCAGTCTTTGCATAAAGCTGCTCGCAGTTCATGCTCTGCATACCGGGCGGCAAGGATAAAAGGACATTTCCAAGGTGGAGATCTGTGTTCAATGTCAATTTCTTGAAGACCTGAAAGTCGGGGCCAAACGTACCGCCATGGACAATCCCTTGAGCATGAATGAATTGTAGTCCAAGTATTAGCTGGGAAGTAATCGCTCGAGCAGCTGGTAGGTGGAGAAGCCGGTGATAGGAGGCATCTTTAGCTTCATGAATACTTATTCTTGCAGTGTCTGTAACCAAACACAGATGGGTGCCATTTGGTCCTGAAAAGGTGAAAGAATCAAGAAGTGTTGGTACATTGACTTTACCAGGAAGTTGGGATTTAGCAGCATCCCTGAATTGTGAAAGATATTTCAACTCATTAGTTCGATCAACGGATTCTGCAGTAGAAATCTTGAGGGCAACAAGTTGACATTTTTCCCTATCTTCCGCTAGCCAAACAGTGGCAGATCGACCGAATCCAAGCTTATGAGCAATAACATATCGACCGTTGTGGAGCTCATCACCGATCATTGTAGGATGGTACCCGCCCCGAACATAAAGGTCCAAGCGTTCTACCTCCTCAACGTGCTCATATTTGGTTTTGCTCGGCTCCATTCGAATTCTGAAGGAGTGTGTCTGTCGACAACGCGTTCTCAGTACGATGGGCTTGACCATGCGAGTCCGTAAAAGCGCGTTGCAGGCTCGATTGACCATAACTAGAGCAAGACGAGGACGTGAGGAGGCCGTTCAATCGAGTTTTGTCTCTGCTCAAATGTCCACTTGAGCAAAAACACAAGCGGCTGAGGTCCAGTTCAACGACCAGGGACATTTCCGCTGGATGTTCTTCCTTGAGGCTCAATGCACGCTAAACCACTTCCATTGCTCTCAGCAGAACGACATCTGTCTCACTTTCAACAAGTATCCCTGAGCTCATTTTCTCCGTCAATAAGTCACTCAAATCTTGTACCTGAGCCTTATCTTTTCATCCAGAACACTAAGCATTACCTGATGCTTCCTGGTGGCTACTTGGAATGTCTGTTTACCCGTGGTCCCTCACAAGGCTTTATGCGTGAAATTCCGGTGAGCCGCATTCTTCAGGTGACTTATGGCGAGGAACACGGTGCCTGTCCAAAGTGAACATGCTTCAATCCCATATGCAACGAAGCATGTCAGTTGGTTAAACAGAGAAATATCGCCATGATGCTTATCCGCGCACACCATGGGATTATGATTCAATCACCCCTCAAGGAAGCGGGCGACAAGAGGCTTTTATGAGTTTGAAACAGATTTCTACATCGAGGATACTTCGTACAGCGTAAAGAATTGTGGTTTCATCATTTGCTTGAATACAATATGCCATTGGGTATCAGCTAAAAATAGACCTATGTACTCCACCTGCGCGATGCTCCTCAAGAGATCGACCCCAGTGGTCTAAACCCTCCACGGCAGTGATAATCCGGAATTTTCCATCCATTCAACATCCTCGAACATCAACGGTGAATCACACGAATCGAATAGCGGCGGAGAGTCGGTCGGTGACAACGACTGCTGCGACGACGGCACCGACGTAGGCCGCGTAGTTAGGGCGGGAGAGTCAAACAGTGGCGTACCCAGCGAGAAGTCAACCGTGTCGTTGACATAGTCTGGAAAACCGAGCGGGCCGCTCAGCTGCGGGTTGGTAGAAAACATGGATCCATCAATCACAGAACTTGGGTCAAGATGATGCTGATGATCGGTTGTAGGTACGCAAAACCCACCGTTGCCCACGCAGTCCACCTGCGGCCTCGTTGCTGCCGTCGTCGCAGCGAACATCATGTCGAATTCGTTCCAGTCGAATCTGATCGGCGGGGGATCATGCCCGGTTGACTGGGGTTGATAGGTCTGGTCCTAGACCCCGGTACCGGACCCCGGTATCGAGTTTGGGACCGGAGCTGGTGATTGTGTCTGAACTTGTGTCTGCGCGTTAATGTGCGCTTGCAGAGCCGTTGCTGAGGCATTCGTCGCAAGGGGCCCCAATGGAGGCCATCCGATAATGGTCCCGTCGGGTAGCTTCTTTTGGAACGTTTTCCCTTCCAATAGATCCCTCGCGTACTTCCCTGGCGTCACTCCAACCACTTTCTTAAATACCCGGTGGAAATGACTTGGTGTCAAGCCTGCTTCCGCCGCAAGATCCTGCAACGTCGGTCGTTGCTTCTCACCACCGGCTAGAGCGACAAGAGTCATGGTCTCGCACGCCTTTTGTGCCAGACGAACATGAGGATCCGTTGGCGCACGGAGGTCTTCGGGTTTGCACCGTTTGCAGGGTCGGTAGCCCGCCTTTTCCGCTTGGGCTGGAGTGTCGTAAAAGATAACGTTTGCCCGGCGGGCCAGCCGGGCCGGACACCGTGGACGACAGTATATCTTGGTGGTTCGCACACCGTACACGAAGCACGTGGCGGCCGCATCACGATTGACGATTGCGCGCCATCGGGCGGAAGGTGTGGCATATGCCATCTTGTTGTCAACTGCCTGAGTCATGGTGGAATAGAGGAAGGAAAAGACAGCGGAAAGTTCTGATATCGAAGGGATCGCGGAGCGGAAAGTAGATCGTTCGGGGGGGGCGGTGGTTGGGGGTGGGAGAGAAGGGAGGAGGGCCTTTTGCCTAACGCTTATGCTCCCCAAGTGGGTTGGTCTAGGTGGTCTATAGAGACGAGTATACAGGAGGAAGTACGTGGAAGGCGGTCTTTATGGACAAAGTTCCCTTGATATGTCCATCCGGAAGCAAGAAACAAGACGAGAGCTTTCTTCCTTTGCTTATGGTTGGGCTCACCACTCGATTGGGAGGAGATAGCGGAAGAAGTGTGTCTGTCTACTGCTTGATATTGGAATCTAGATAGAAAAAGAGAGGGCAGTCCTCATCGATGATTTAAGAAAGGCAGTCTGGTTCCTTTCTGAGGATGTGTCTTTATATCACACAAGATCACACAAGAGGAGAGAGAGCAAGTGCTGCGGAGGTAGATGTGTCGAAGATATATATGACTGGGTAGGGACAAGTTCCAAGAAAGAGGACAGAGCCAGAGGATGGATTCCAAGACTTCCGTGCGGATCGCTAGGTCTGGAAGAGGATAAGGGTGGTCAAGGGGGGTGTGGATGAGAAAACGAGAAGCCACAGATGGAAGATATAGGGCAGTCGGGGCGAGATATATAGGGACGCGAGAACCGTCTTGTGCCGGCGGACAGCGAGATCCCTTGAGTGATGAAATTGGCCAGCCTGCGGTGTCGCGGCGTCTTGATTGGCCAGTTTGGGAGCAAGACTCAAGGATTTGTGGCCGATTAGTCATGCACCCGCCCCTTGGATCGGCGCTAGTTCACTTTCGGCCTCGGTCACATGTCTCGCCCGCTGGTCAAAAGCGGAATGGCGTCGAATGGGCCTTGGCACGGCTAAATAAGGACTAGATGTGGCTGAGGACGCTGATGTCAGCCGCGGCCTGCCACTTGATTGGGTAGCGCCGCGACCGGCGGATGTTGGCCTCATCCCCTGCACGCCCAGAACCCACCACACTGTGCGCATTCCGCCGTACTTGGCGGCTTGGAAAGAGGGAGGGATTTCTTGGGTGCGTCGTGATGCCGTCACTTGGCGGCCGGTCAGTTCTAGGCGTGGCTCCTCTTCTCCAATAGGCGAGGCCCTCGCTTGGCAGAGGGCGGAACCTTATGCGAAGGCGGAGTTATGTCGGGGGATTGCCGGCGATGCGATGGCGTGTTGCGAGGTCCTGTGCCCGCTGGGCCGCTGGCACGGAGGTCTGGCCAGCTCAACGTCATAGTACTTCCTCGACTCCGTATTATCAATAATAATACCTGCTATGATGCACCTCGGCTGCCCACTAATAAAGTGACTGGTCTAAGAGAAGTCGATGAGAGGTGGAACAGCCATTATCCGGGGTCTTCAATCACATCTTATTTGCAGACACTATTTTAGTCTATAGAAGATCATGAAGTGGAGGATGGCAAGTTCATTGACAAGTCATAATTCCTAGTAATCCGGCCACATGATAGATATGCTCTTTCAGTGCACTATGGCAGCTAACCATCAAATACATGTATGCCTTTGGAAAAAAGAGTAAAAAAGCATTCCCGCGCATCCTATCATAATCGAACCGAATGAAATACGCCGTCCAATTAAGTTTACTCCTTTGTCTTTTGGGTACCGCGAAGCAAACCAGTTCTCCGGGCAGCGATGAGACCGGCTTTTTGACCTTGTGCGGCGTATCTGGAGATTGTGGAAGCTTTACCAATATGTTGATGGTTACCACCACCGTGAGGCTGGAGAAAAAATTAGCTATCAGCGACCGCTAATCTTGCGCACTGCCGTTGAGATAACTTACATGGTCGACAGGGTTCATGGCAACACCACGAGTCTTGGGCCATGAGTTGCGCTTAACAGCATACTTGTGCTTAGCACGGGAAGCCTCTGTAGAGAATGTTAACGAAATCTGTCCCAAACAAATGGTATAGCGATGATAACCACATACTCAACAATGGCTTGTCTGTACGTCCACCACCGGCAACGATACCAACCATTCCTCGGGAACGGCTCTTCACGACCTTCTTAGCACCAGAGGGGAGCTTGATACGGGTCTTGCCCTCCTCAGGATTGTGGCCAATGACCGTGACATAGTTTCCAGACGTTCGGCCGAGCGCGCCTCTGTCTCCAACCTTCTCTTCAACGTTGGTGACAACGGTACCTTCGGGAACAGAGCCCAAAGGAAGGATGTTTCCGACAGTCAAGGTGGCGTTCTTTCCGGCGTAGATAAACTGGCCAGTGTACATGCCCTCGTTGGCAATGAACGTCTCGGTGATATCCTTGAACTTGTATGGGTGACGGAAAGAAACTTGGGCGAGAGGAGCACCTCGGCCAGGGTCGTGAATGATCTTCTTCACCACTCCGCGAATATATCCGTGTCGCTCGGCATAGTCGAGGGTTCTGAACTGAGCTGGTGCCTTGTTGAGACGGGTATGGGCCGCTGTTTTAAAAGAAGAAACCAGTCAATTGACGAACTCGTCCAAACTTCTCCCCGGTCCACGGCCTCAGTCTTGAGATTTTGAGGTTGGGTTAGCACATACTGAAGATGGATCCACGACCCTTTCTCTGATTGCGGATGACGCGACCCATGGCGTCTGACTGTAGGGCACAAGACGGTTAGTACAGCGCCGGTAAATTCGTGGAGAGTGTCGTCGAGAGAACGCTCGTACCTCTTCGCAAAACTGTCGGTTGGTCGGTGAAGTTGCGAATTCGCACTCAAAATGCAAACCAAAATTGTGTGGATTTTGTGTGTTTGGGGCAGCGTCGCTAACCTAACCGAGTCTGGACTAGCGCGCTTGCCACATCCTCACTCCAAAAGAAGTTCGAATCCATCGCGCTCCCAACGCCAGATGCAACCAGCTCCGACGCTTCATCGCGGGCTGGGTTTCGCTGGAAGAGAGAATGGCGCCGTGTCGGTGCTGGTGGTAAGGCACAGTTTCCTGATATCTGCTGCTTCCAATGCATGCTTACAAGCGATTGAGGCTCACTTTACGTCCCTTGGGATTCTGCATCTTGACATAGTTAAGCCTACTCAGAGCGTTGAGAATCGTGATTTCATTTTGCTGGAGATACCAGTATCTGTTGCAGAGCGTGGCCACTTGTGTGCAGTCAAAAGGCCTTCAGCCCTGTCTAGCATGACAGGGTCTGTGTTCGACCATATCTCTGCTGATCATCATGCCAAACCTGGCTAAATGATGATTGTCTTCCTGCTTCATCGCAAGTCGGCGCTGTACCAAACATTATATTTTAATATTCATTTTTGACCGCCAGAGCCTTCTTTGAAGGCCATTCTTTCTATTACACCCTCCATTCTGGGCTTTTCATTGCCCTTTCGGTTTTTACTGACTGAATATTGGCGGTGCCAGGCTCATGATTCCGCAAAGTTTTGGTATTTGTTGGGGCACTATTTGTCCGTTCAATGGACAGATATGTGAAGGGATTCCCAATATCCAACCACAATGTTTGTGGCCACTTGACACATATTTCGACCCTGGTGAATTTCAATGAAGTACTCGTTTGTCAATTTCCTTATTGGCGAACCTACACCGCAAAGGCTACGGCTAGCTTCATGTGAACCAATGGTTCATAGTCCGGCCCTCACGCTTGCCTTAGCAGTACGTTTACGCCCCATGGATGCACCATACGAGATAGCAGGATGAGCGTTGGTGGGTGTTCCAGAACGACCCGGCCTCGCCGTCCATCGTCATCATCGCCGATGTCCGCGGACGAAGGATATCCCGGTTCTTCTGCGTTGGGATTCGCAGTTCTCTGTATATCCGGCTTTCGCAGAGCGGATAGTCGTGTGAAAGAAAGAAAGAACAAAGAGCGAGGATATTCAAGCCATTTGCGACGTGTCGACGTGGCGCCTTTCGCCAGGACCCCTCTCAAAATCGGGGATTGCCAAATTGACGGGCTTTTACGGGTACTGTTTAGGAATCAAGTGAATTCCTACATTTAGATAGCTTTAGCTGATACTGTGGCTTAATCCCAATTGATCTACCTGTTGAAATGGCGGCTTTTAAACGAGCGAGGCGCGCTCCACCCGCGCTTGCAATCGTAGGTTTCCCCAGTCACTCGAGAATCTTGTGTCGTTCGCAGACTTCGCCCAAACATCTTCCTCCAACCTTCAACCCTCAACCACCCAACACCGGCAACAACACCATGTCTCATTCGGACTCGGACACGTCTTCGTTGTCTTCCGCTGTGTCGATTGAAGACGAGGCTATGGCTGCATCTATAAATCGCGCGGTCGGGATAAAAAAATATTTCAAACGTGAGAAGCAAACCGAGTCGCCGCCTCCGAAGCGTGCACCATCACCACCGCACGAATACGTGCTTGCCGACAATCCAAACATTGCAGTCAGTGATTTTTTCTCAATAATTTACAGTTCTCCGGCTATTTTCTTTCTTGAGACGCGTCGAGCGTGCTGAACGCGCAGCTAACACTTGACTTCCGAATAGTTCATCGTAATGTTCCGGTCTAGATTTAGCGACATCTTCCCTAAATCAGTTCCCAACTACGGCCCACAAGATATTGAGAAAGGTGTCACGGATGCTGTCCCTGGCGACCACATAGAACGGCTGTTATGCGCCTTAATTGGCCTCGTTCTTAACCGGAAGAAAGACGTTGAGTCCGTTTGCCTCCATTCCCAACCTCGCCTTAAGCTGGCGGATACTCACCCCTCCTCGATATATATCTGGTGATATTGAACGTTCGGACTGACTTTATGTGGTATCTACGCGTAGGAGGGGCCATTTCCAACGGGCCCTCGAGGAAGCCGTCCAGACGCATTACAATCAATGGCCACGAGCATGGGAAGGCAAAAACCCACTCCATGGTGGACGTACATTTGCGACTATGTCCCCAGAAGATCGGGTAAGGATTTCCCGTTCGTACCTGCAATGCGGCCATTAATTACCTCTATAGCTGTCGTTCCTCAAAACGTTGATTCTTTGGGCCCTCTCCTCGTCTGAAGCTATTCAAGCGAAGCTCAAAGAAAGCTATAAACAAACAAGGCAAGACGGAGACCGCAATCAACCTCTATCTGTTCAACCGTGGGGAAGCGATAGTTACAAACGGCGTTACTGGCTTATCGAAGGCCGCGATGACACACATTTCAGAGTTTATCGGGAGAGCAACCCTGCCCTCAAAACCAACACATGGTGGAGCGTCGCAGGCTCAATTGATGAGCTAAAGGCTGTTGCCGAATCCCTTGGTGCTGAGAAGTCGCGTGCGGCGAAGGAGCTGAGCGACAGGATGCGCAATAGCATACCCCGTTTCGAGGCATCCGAAGAGGTAAATTTTTACACAATCCAGCTTTTGACTACATCAGAAACTGATGGTCGGTAGAAACGGAAACGCCGCGATTATCGATTAGCCCGAAAAGCAGCATTTGCGCGCCCTGAACCTGGATTCTCCCTATATGAAGGTCGCACCCGTGGAAAACGGATTAAGTATACGTTTTCTGATGAAGAAGATTTATCAGACGAATATGCTTCTAGAAGATCTACGCGGCAACAAACTCGCGGTTCAACTCCTGGAGAGCCGTCCGGCCCAACTTACACTGCTAGCGGCCGTCAAGTTAAGGCTCGGGTTGGAGGTATATACGGGGAGACAATAACCACACGGCAACGCAAAGACACAGCCCAGGATCATGGCCTTATGAATGGCAGAGCACAGCGAAGTACGAGGTCGAATGGATTGACACGTGATACCAACATTGACAGCTATAATTCTGTGGATGCAATGGATGAAGATGACGAGCCAGAAGCAGTTTCAAGCGGACAGGAATGGGAAGGCGGGGATGAACATTCCGCCGAGGAAGACGAGGATATGAGTGACGTTGGATCCTTAGATGAAGATGATACAGTTCGACCAAGTCTGGTTGTCCAATTGAGATATGGTCAAGGAAAAGACGGCGAGACGCTTCAGGACAGTCCTAACCCAACAAGTTCTACAGATGGCACAGCACCTGAAGCGCAATCTGCATCTGCCCACGTCACGGCGTCGTCAAGCCGTCCGACTGTGCGACTTGGGGACCACACTTCATCAGGTCATGATTCCCCTGCGAAGAGTGTAGCGCCGCTGCTCCCAGCGCAACCCGTTGAATTGCCTCCCAATCAACCAACCGCCGCTGAAAATCAAACCCCCCAAGCTTCTCAAAATGGCACTCGGCAGGGATATCACCACAGTGGTCCAGAGAAGTGAAAAGCTCGTTACCTTGCAGCATTTCGTGGATTTCAAACCCCGTTTTATCTCCTGGAAAATGAGCAGTGGCGCATATTAATCGAGACAATCTTACGCAGACGGCTGCAATCTCAAAGCCGATGTGAGTATATTGAGTGAATTTAGCATAATATATCGGGGATGTATGGAATAAAGGTTTTCGCGAATTACGCATATATGTACAGTATATGGTCGTTCAAAATCACTTGAAGCGCTCAGTCAATGCGCCAATATCAATTCAATGCCCTACCTAGAGCATATGTCAAACCCCCAAATACACCTTGATAGCGGAATTATGCTTGCGCGACATTGGACTAGAAGGGCGTGAAAGTCCATCCAGTGTTCTGTACGCATCTATTGACCAGAAAGGTTCGAATCTAGTCCGGTTAACATTACAGCAGCACTCTTTCAACGGAATTTCCGGTTAGCACTCAAGTCCGCTTGTGGGCCCAACGTAGTCTTGCGCCAAATTGTTGATTGAATCCTGCAGGCATCATGACCGTGCATGCTAACTTTGCGCCGCTCGCTGCTGACCAGCAGTGCCCTCGTAGGCCCGGAAAGGACGCGCGTCTGGATTTGCATCATGTCCCATGTATTTCGGGGTGAGAATGTCCAGAAGCCGTGGGTCACAATAAGAGTAACCTGCAGAAGAAGAAAAGGATTTTGGCCGGAATCATAGCCTAGACATATCCCAGCCGTTCAGCTTCCACCACCATCGTCTAATCATGAATCCAGCCGTCCTGCCGCGAGATTGTGTTCCGCGGTGCCAAAATTTCCAACCGCAAAGAGCGAGCGTCCATAGGGTGCCTTGCATTAGAGGTAAGAGGACCTGAATAAAGAAACTCCGGCATTAGCAATCACTTGTATTTAAGGGAAGCGTCGGTTTGGGCCAAAGAGCTCGTATAACAGGCAGCGAAAAGTCGTACCTGGTCTCGAATAGTGATCCATGCAACCCGGCCCCAGGTCTCTGCTCCGCTTATACTTGCGAGGTAACTCTGCTCAAATCGCAAATCTGGCAAGGGGGGCAAGGCTGTCCGATGTTGGTGGGATTTGACCATCCGGCTAGAATCGACGATTCCCGTTGACAGGCTCCCTGCATCAGACGGGACGCGCTCCAATGGACTCTCAAATGGACCGCGAGTGAAGGGCGAATTGACGTCGTGGTAGGAGGGCGGCGACGACGGCTGAATGGACTCAGCAGCTTGCCGCATGCGTTCGGACATTTTGGCTGGATGTGTTTGCAGCAATGATGATGAGAAAGTACTGAGAAGCTGCTCGGAGCAAGGTGGAAGCGGCTGGACGGGGGTCTTGGATGCAACCAAAAGGATTCCTCCCCCACCAAAACAACCTCTCTCGTCAAACCCCCTCCTTGCACTCACGAACCCAGCAGAACAACCAATTGATCCTGACAAAATGGCTGCTTCAGAAGGATATCCTCTTCTCTGTCTAGAGAACCCCCTCCTGGGTAAGTACCTTGATCTCCGAAGAAATTTGCAATTACTAACCCCATCGCGCAGACATCCAGGGCATTGGGTAATGCATCGCTCGGCGAATTCCCTTCAGCGGTTTATTGCTAATACGCTCCTAACGCAGAAATGAGGCAATGCTAGAGAAGTATGGCGTCAAAGCCAACGATGCAATTCTTGCTGAGGAGAAGCATATGGGTCTCTATGAGGATCTCTTGCAAAACTGCAATGCAAAGCTAATTGCCGGCGGTGCTGCGCAAAACACCGCCCGTGGTGCTCAGGTACGTAAACTGTTTGGGTTTCTGCTGAGAGTGGCGGGATACACGCTTTCTAACTGCGAATCTAGTATATTCTCCCTGAAAACTCAGTGGTCTACATTGGATGTGTAGGAAAAGATAAATATGCAGACACTCTCAGAGAAGCTGGAGACAAGGCTGGGATTCGGACAGAATATAGGATAGATGATGTGCAACCGACGGGTCGTTGCGGTGTCATTATCACTGGCCACAATCGTTCTCTTGTTACTCACTTGGCCGCCGCCAACGAGTACAAATTAGACCATCTCAAGCAACCTGAGATCTGGTCTTTAGTCGAAAAGGCCAAGTTCTACTTCGTTGGTGGATTCCACCTGACAGTCTGTGTGCCAGCTATAATGGCCCTTGCTGAAGAGGCGGCTGAGAAGAATAAGGTATGTTTATTTTGGAGGCCTCGTCCGAAGGTAACACACTTTTGCTAACATCAGATGATCACAGACTTTTATGCTTTCCCTGTCTGCGCCATTCATTCCCGCCTTTTTTAAAGATCCTCTTGACCAAGTTCTTCCCTATACTGATTACGTTGTTGGAAACGAATCAGAGGCGCTCGCCTTTTCTGAATCTCACGGATGGGGTATTACTGACCTTGGTGAAATTGCTAAGAAGATGGCCAATCTTCCCAAGAAGAATGCTCAGCGCCCTAGAATTATTATTATCACTCACGGCACAGAGCCAACTATCTCCGCTGTTGCCGATGGGAACGGCGGTGCGGAACTGAAGACGACTCCTATTAGGAAGATCCCACAAGATGAGATCTATGATACTAACGGTGCTGGGTAAGTCTTAATCTATAGAAGTATTCCATATTTTAGGCTAATCAACGCTGCCAGTGACGCTTTCGCCGGTGGGTTCTGTGCCGGAGTGGTTCAAGGGAAGAGTCTTGACCAATGCATTGATATGGGCCATTGGTTGGCGAACTTGAGCATTAGGGAATTGGGCCCACAGTAAGCTTCCCTCGTTTAACAGAATTTCGCTCCCTTCCATCTTGCGTGACTGACATAATGAACCTCTACTGCTAGATATCCTTTCCCTAAGAAGACTTATACTGCGTAAACCCACCAACCGAGTTGTAAAAGGTTTCAACCAATCCTGTGATCCAACTACTCCATTCCTATTTTCAGCCACTCACCATTTCTCGGCTCCGAGATTCAACAAGGACTCATAGCGGTTTAATTTTTTTGTGCACACAGGCACTGACTAGATTATTGTGTGGCGAGAATTCGAATAGTTGCCTTTCTGGGCCGGTACGAAGAAATATTACCAGGAATATTAGAAAGAAAGTCAACGTTTTCAACAACGCAAAACTGAATTAGCGGACTAAAATTAATTATTAAAAAGCAGACATTAAGCTAGTACAGCTAGATGAAAAGGAATCGACACTTAGTTTGATAGACTTTGAGAACACAAAGTGCGAATATCAAAATGCGGACTTACTGCATAAAATACAAAAAAAAAGAAATAAAACAAAGCCAGCGCTCTCGAGAGAGCGAAATTAGTGACTAAAACGATGTAAACGCATATGTAGGTAACGAGCAGTATTCTCAACTGTGTTGAGTTGGCGATACTCAAGAAATGTTGAACGGACAGTATCTGACCGACGAACATTTCTGAACTGGCGCGAGATTCGGGATAGCGATTGCAAAAATACTCCTCTCTATCAAGCGTTTGACAACCTTTGAAGTAGTAGTCTAGCCAATATGGTTTGCAACCTTGGCTATCATTGATTTATCACAGCTGTCAATCTATTCATCCTGTTACAAGAAGCCTCATTGGAAAGCCCTTGGGACACATACCATTGTGCTACGGGCGAAATTGCTGTCAGAACGGTGCTGCAAACACGGTCATTCATGGGAGATTTTACTCTCCATGGTCAGCGATATAAGATAAATCGGCTATGAACGCTCGACCTATCCACTCATCCAGCCTGTCCACTTGGAGGAGTTTGGCCAAGAAAGACCCCGGGTGAGGCCACATGGCTCCGAGTAAACACACTGGAAGGGTAATAGGATGAAATGAACGGTGAATGAATACTTTCGGCTCCAGGATGTGGTGGTAGACTGGAATATGACGCTGTTAAAGACCGACTCGGAGAAGAAACTTCCCCGGGTTGTGGCGCGAAAGCCGTATTAAAAATGCTTGGGAGAAGAGGTCCTGGTGAATACGTGACTTTAGGCTCTGGACTCTCTGCGCGACTGTCTTGTTCTTGTGAGGCTGAAAATGTAGAACCTCCATCAGTATCAATTACCAAGGACTGTCGGTATCGCGATTCTGTCGTTTCGTCTTCGATCGCAGAGTGATTGGTATCGCAATTCACAAGTTCATCGACCATCGCTTCGACATCAAAAGCCAAACGAGATTCCGCTGGCGATTCGTTGTTGTCCCAGTGGTCGCCATGTGCCTGATTCTGATTAACAACTTGGTGGTCAACGCTGGGTGTGGAAAGGTCGCTTGCACTCGGGGATCCATTCGAGGATTGGGAGACAGCATCGGCCTGGTCAACAACGAAGCGATCGTCTAACATACGAATGGGAATTTCCTGCCACTAGTTAGTCATCTGAGTAGTAGGCGGATAGGCAGGAAACCGAAAGCCAACCTACTTTGTTTCTAACGAAATCGAGACCATCCAAAAGGAATTCCTGTGTTCGAAATTCGGCTTCGACCTTGGTTCTGTCACCGCCAGCACCGACCGGCGCTTTAGGTTTCACGTTCCCAGAATCGTCAACATGGCGCCGGGACTTACTCCCAACCATCAGTGGAGAAAATCCTAGTGTTTCGCAATCCTCCGGGAGAAGGTAGTTTAGATACACCCTACCTCGAGAAGTGTTTGAAGCAACAAAGTTCAAGGCACTCGCATAAATTTCCCAAAATCGCCTGATATAATAACCAACAAGGGCCGTAGTATATTGAGTTTGAGAAACCAGAGTAGCACGGTTGGCCACTAGCCAGGAGCTGTAATTCCGGAGTGCTGGCAGGATTGTCCAGTGGGACCAGTCCAAGTTCGACTGCTCATTGTTTTCTTGTATGAGAAGCTGCAAAAGGATTGTGAAAGTTTTCACATTTAGCCGCATGAAAAATTCGACCGCATTCCCATTGGTATCCGATTTGGTTCGTGCATGTGCTTCGGCACCTATGTTCATCAAGCAGAGCGTTTGAAGGAAAGTGACGTCCATGGAGCCCTCGCGCAACTGCATAGCCATTTGATCAAGAACCTCATCTTCCAATTTGCTTCGTTCACTGAAGTCAACATTCTTATAGCACATCGCATGCAGGTAGATAAATGAATGAATCAATGACTCCCTTTCATCATTTGGTTGTGCCAGTCTCCCACTAGATCGTGCAGTCAGGAATTTCTTGAATTCAAGCTCAAGATTGCCATCCGCATCGGCGTGGGGTTCCATCGCGCACAAAGCACGATAGAAATAATATGTTGCATGAAAATGGTCAGCCCCAGCAAGTGCAATGAGAGCCAGCTGATTCTGAAATCTTCCACACATAGGTTTAACCGCGCCGGCTAGCCTGTAGAAGTTCACCACGAGGCTCCATTCCCGTTTAGAGATGTCGGAAACAAGAACCATCTGGTAATACCGAGAAAGGTCCCCTAGCCGGATCAAGGTGGAATAACACGAATTGACTATGCGGTCTCGCAGTGTACTAGTGACACTGGGCGGAATCTGAACTTCAACTGGCTCGATGCTCAACTCCGTTGCAGCGTCTTTCAGCTCAGGTACGGAGCTCCATCGAGAGAGGATGAACTTGAGGTAATCTTCGTAGAACTGCTGCGAGCCACTGATGAACTTTTGGTACTTGGACTTGAGCTTGCGGTCCTCGACCGGCCGCTTCTTCCGTGCCTGTTGCTCACGAAACTGGAAGCAAAGTTTCCGAAAGCGGGAATTGATCCTCATGTGTGCATCCCATATTTGGTTCTCGAGCTCTGGAGAGGTAGGACCTGCTTCCGTCTCAAGATTATTGAAGGTGACATGGGCGCAAGATGTTTGGAAACTGCATGATATACAAGTTAGCCACATTCGTGTGCGAAGAAAACGGTGGAAAGGATAGGGTTAGAAGGAGGATTTACTCTCTTAGAAAACGCTCGGCATTATCAAACATTGGGTCTCTTTTAGAAAGCTCTTCGTAAAGTTGCTTTTCACCTTGGAGCTCGATTCTATGAAGAAAAGTCAGCACTCGTTAGCTGCAACCTCCCTGGCACAGCGTAAAGCAGGAAATCTCAAACGCACGTTTGTTCAGGGCTTTGAGACCCCGATGCCATGCTTCAAAAGATCTCCAGACGACTGTGGAGAAAAATGCGTGTTTTGCGACGGGGACCGATATGTCTGCGCTTGTCAAGGTGGTAATCCAAGCGATGACTCGAAATGACTGACGGAAGATGGGAATCCATGGAGTAGCTCATATATATACGTCGACAGAGAGTTCAGTGACTCCCTTGGATCGCAATCCGCGATGCCATGGAGCTGTCATCTCGCTGGATCTGATGTCAACAAGGTAAGGTTAAGGCAACGGGCGATATCACGTGAGCGGTGGTTGTCTTATCTGATCCAAGGGTGAGAGGGCGAGGACCATGGGAATCGACCAGGCAGACAACTCCGGAACCACCGCTCTGAGGTCGAGCTGTCCGTTTTCAAGCCGTTCGTTATTGGTGCTCTCCTTGACACTTAGCTTTCTCGCGGTTCCGATTACGTCGTGCTTTATTTTGCTGCTGTTTAACTTTTCTTGAAAGCTCCAGACTCCAGAGCTAGTTACGACAGTTACCTTCTCCCTGATCCCGCGACGGCGCGAACACGACCGGCATGTCCTTTTACGTCTCCTCCGGTCAACAGCGCACCCTGCGCGCCTGCATGGTCTGCTCCATCATCCAACTCCACAGCGTGCGCGTCCCTCCCCCGAACTTCCAGCCTAAACACAACTAACCGACCTCTAGAAATTTATGCGCGACGGCTGTCCCAACTGTGAACCTTTCCTCAACCTCCGCAACAACTCTGATGCCATTCAGGAATGCACATCGCAAGTATTCGAGGGCCTGATCGCGCTCGCTGACGAACGGACATCGTGGGTGGCGCGATGGCAGAGACTGGACGGATACGTGAGCGGGACATATGCGGTCAAGGTTACTGGAACGGTAAAAGCATATTCGTCTGGGTAGTTCAATATACATGGTACTGATAATGGTGTGCTAGCTACCGCAAGAAGTTCTCGCAAGCCTTGAGGATGCCGGTGTTAAGTACTTCCCGTACGTCCCTTTTTGCTGCCTCTTTATGACCATTCATTAACACCTATATAGGAGAGACGGGAGTGCTATTGAGGAGGAGGGTTGAGTCTTTTGGTCCTATATTCTGCAGCTATTTCTAGCAGGGACTGGCGTTGGGGACAGATTTATTATGGTCACTTTATATCCTATTCCACAAGCATAAGCATGGCGTTGGTTAACTCCAGGCTTACATGATGAAGATAGTCGAGATTTTTATCTAGGTTATATGTCTAGGGATGATACAGTTCATTGGGGAGTTCTATTCCTGGAGGCTGGTACAGTAACCGGGGCTCAGAAAGCTCTGGATATTCTGGTTAAAGATTTTGTTTATTATAACCAGTCAAAAGTATGCAAAAAAAGCAAGTTAAAGTGAAGATGGTCATGAATATCATTTCACTACTCAAACAAAGAAACACCCCGAAATCCAAAGAAGCTATGCCTGTACATTTTTACAGCTGAGGCTTGTTGCCATATCCATTGGCCATCAATAACCTCTCAGTCTCTTGCTGTTGCCATGTCAACTTCGCAGTCGTAGGCCCTTCTCGCTGCTTATTCTCCCGTCTGCCCATCTGGCTCAAGTGTACCTCATCCGGGCCGTCGGCGAGTCTCAGCGTACGAGCATGAGCCCACATAGATGCCAAAGGTGTATCCTGGCACACACCCATGCCGCCATAAGCCTGGATGGCACGGTCAATGACCTCCAAGGCGACACGAGGAACAAGAACCTTGGCCTCAGCGATTTCCTTCAGGGCAGCCTTGGCATTGGCGTTGTCGATGGCTACGGCAGCATTGAGGACGACGAGGCGGGAAGCATCGATGTCAATGCGGGACCGGGCGATCCATTCAAGAATGACACCATGCGAAGAGAGCTTGGCACCGAATGGCTTCTTCTTCTCGTCGTTGGCGCGGGCGATGAGCCATTCAAGGGCCTTTTCGGCGGAACCGATGGCACGCATGGCGTGGTGAATACGTCCGGGTCCAAGACGGCCCTGGATGATTTCGAAACCGCGGCCTTCGCCGAGAACCATGTTGCTGGCAGGAACGCGGACGTTCTTGAAAGAAATGTGACCATGGCCATGAGGAGCATCGTCATAGCCATAAACGCTCAACATGCGGTGAATGGTGATTCCTGGAGTTTCAGCGGGAACAAGGATGACGGATTGCTGCTTGTATGTATCTGGGTTGCTGGCATCGCTCTTGCCCATGACAATGTAGATCTTGCATCTTGGGTCTCCAGCACCAGATGACCACCATTTCTAACGCAAAGTGCATGTTAGCCGTGGTATTCTCGTAGTACATCTAAAAGCGCTAGACATACCTGGCCGTTGAGCACGTATTCATTACCCTCTCGTCTGATGTCAAGCTGAATGTTGGTGGCATCGCTGGAAGCAATCTCGGGCTCAGTCATGAGGAAAGCGGAGCGAATCTTTCCCTCCAACAATGGCTCTAGCCACTGCTTCTTCTGGGCCTCATTTCCGTACTTGGCGAGGACCTCCATGTTGCCAGTATCCGGGGCAGCGTTATTCGTAGCCTATTGAATCCCGCCCTGTCAGGGACTGTAGCAATCATAGTATGCGGGGGATGATTACACACCTCGCTAGCCACACGGCTCTTTCCAAGAATCTCGGCCATCAATCCGTATTCAACATTGCTGAAACCAGCACCCTCCTTGAAGTGGTTCTTTGGCAAGAACATATTCCAGAGACCGAGCTTCTTGGCCTTGACCTTGAGCTCCTCCAGAATGGCTGGCGTGCGCTTCCATCTTTCTTCGCCTTGGCCTAGTTGTGCTTGGAAGAGAGCATCTGCGGGGATACATTCCTTCTCGACAAACTCCTCGACCTGTAGTTGAAAGCAACCGTAAGCTCAAGTCTCTCGTCGCACGCTCTCGGCAATAGACGAAACGGCAGGAGGCTTGGGAACCACTTACAAGATCGAGAGTCTTTCTAGCTCTCTCACTGACGAATGGAGCGGCGATTGGTGGGATTCTCGAAGAGGCAGACATACTGGGAGCTATGGAGGTGAAGGGTGGAAGAGTTGAAAGCTGTGCAGGATGATCAGCTGGTTATGGAGCTCTGGTTGGACGACTCCGAACTAATGAAAAAAAAAGGAACCACGAAAAACGTAAATGCAGTAGCAGCAAAGATGGAATCGAATGCCTTTAAATATGGTCATATGAGAATCATACGACGGGAATAGCAGAAATTGAACCTTCGCTCTCACGACGATGGTTGACGGTTTGCCGGCAACTGAACCTCGGCTGTTTCCCCGCTACCGCTGGGCTGGAGCGCCCCAGAGGAACAGTCCCCCATCAACGGAGTAATCCAGCGCCAAAATAGGCCGAAGCCTAGGGACAGTACTGCATTTGCTATTCCCGTGCTGAACGAGTAGGGCGGGCTAGCGGGCTTGTCTGAAGGCCCGGCTGCCGAAGACATGCCACTCTGATATTTGATGGGCAGTCTGATACCGCTGGGTGTAGATGAGGTTACCACACAGGAGCTTGCCAATCGATCAGCGCTACGCGATGTGAACCCGAGTCGAGCTGAGCTACCTATGGCCCTATGGGGAGCTTTGGAGAGAAGCCAGAGAGCAGAATTGATGGTTTTGCCGACTACCGAGTCTCAGCCAGAGCAGCGGCCGAAATATCCGGAACTGTCGTTCGACATGAGACGGTGCCTTGGCTAGGCAAATATGCACTTGACGGCTAACTACTTGTTCAAGCGTTTAGCAAAGAGTGTCCGTCCATTAAGAAGTCTCCAAGCGGAGCGTATTCTGGCAATAGCAAATAATCCCTACAACACATAATTGACCTCCTTATGTTCCATGCCCGTTTTCCAGGTGCTGCTCCAGATGCACCGTGATTGATTCCAGCCTATCGACCCCTTACCGATAAAAAAGAACGCCATGCCAGGTCCATGTTCCACCGCCAGAATTGAAAGGAAAAATACAAAGGAGGAAGTGAAGAAAAATGACAGGGCTGATTTCGTGAAGCCTGGTAGAAAGAAAGAAAGGTCGTCAAGAGGGCTTCTGGAGTTATCTAGGCAGCATTGCCCCCATTGTTAGGATCCTCCGAGCTCATTTTCTCGTATGATTTCTTTGCGATTGTTTTGGCGAACAAAGCTTGAGGTTTCATACTATCAATTGTTAGTTGTGCTTCACATTAATGACTTGAAGGTAGCATACTTCTTGAGCATCTTCACCTTCATGTCAGTAAGCCTTTTGGTGCATGGACTCATGATGTTGTCTGAAGGAGAGACGTAATGGCCCGGTGCCCTGTTAAGACTCATATCATGTCAGCAATGGACCATTTCAGAGAATGGCTACCCAGCCATACTTTAGGGATCCTTCTTGCAGCTTCTCTCTCAGGACTTGACGATGGTGCTCCAGCGATTTCTTGGTGGCTGCTTTGTCCTCATTACTTGCTTTTGCAGGAGACGGAAGGAAAACGTTGGTTGATTTGTCGGACAGAGGGAGGGATTTGGAAGGGCTGGTAGCGTTGGCTGCCATGGCGTTAGAGGATGGAATAATAATTGCGACCGGAGGATCGAAATGGAGCTTTGGTGAGAATAGAAAATTGTTTGTCTGAGTCGTCAGAATGGATTTCGGGGGAGACGTTTGTTTATGGCTTGGGTTTCTGGGCCGTTGTCAGTGTCAACTTGCTTTGTTTTTGGCGGCCAGCAACGGTAAACAACAGAATTAGGGCTGTAAACAAACCTCGTGTCGGCAGAACCTTCAAGTGAACTTTCCCAGACCTTGGATGCAGAGTTTTGTGGAAGATTCAGGTTCAAAGACGGGCTCGCTGGGATTTTGCAGGTTTGGGATCCATGTTGACAGGCCGATAGTTGCCAGGGCAACCTCGAATCGGCTGGAGCAACATGCGATGGAAGATCCCGGTATCTTAACTCCCCAGCAACGCATCTTGCTCTTGAAGGGTACTAACTGCTAGGATACCGATCGGCACATCGAGCTTCTATCCGACTTGCTATCTACGTTGAGTCATCCCTCGCTCGTATATCAAGCATTCGCAAACCAAGGATGCTCCAAAGCCTCCTTCGCCGTGCTTCTCCTTGTCGGGTCGAAATGCATTAAACGAGTGACAAGATCCCTGAATCTCTCATCAATATCCAAACACATGGAAAACGGCTTGCGCGGATTTCCTTCATTGAACCCTTCCCAGAGAGTTTTGAAAGCGTTACACCAAGGGTTCTCCTCGCCTAGATACACCAAAAATCCGTTCAGGCTTTGTGCATCCGCAAAATAAGACAGCTGGCGTTCGAGGATGACGGACAGCGGGTTAACCCCTTTTGGGAGTCTGCTTTCGTCCATGGAAAAAATCGCTTCTTTAAGGATCGCATATATGCACTCGTGAGAGTTAGCCACGCTGTCCAAGACAGGAGGTGTAGTTGCAACTCACTACAACGCCGAATGAGAACATATCCGAAGGCTTGCTAACTGGGCCTTGGGCATGTGCTTCAGGACTCCTCCACATATAGTTGCCTACCTGCTTTCCCGTTATATACTCGCCAGGAGGTAGGTAGACAGCATCCTCAATATCAGACAGCTGTACCTGGTCAATGACTATCTTTTGCTGGTCTCCGTTGCCAAATTTTCGGTTTATAAAAATGTTGTTTGCTTTTATATCTGTGACAAATTAGCCCCGTCCTATCCCATCCGGTTCAGCAAGCATACCCGTGTGAACAATATCACGTTCATGCAACGCCGCAATTCCTCGCAGAGCGTCCCTAAGGATCCGCTTAGTCGTACTGACCGACAGCTCTGCCTGCGGAGCCAATCCTAGTAAATGGTCCGTGAAGTATTTATACACGAACAACGACTGTTCCGGAACAGTGTCACTCAGGCACCGGAGATATGGACTCCGCAGCTCCCTGTGGATGTTCTGATAATAATCGAATTTCTGCCCAGAGACTTCCTTCAATATGAATCGCTGGCCACTCGAACTATGTAGACCTGTCAGGCTCTATACAAGCGAGAGCTTGCCTGTATCCTATGAAATATAAAAGGATCTAAATTGAACCAAGTAAAGACATACACCGCGAGATACACCCGTAACTTGCTCAGTTCTTTCTCCTGTAAGATTTTCTCAATCGAATAGCGTCGACCCGACTGCCCACAAACCTCCAAATTCTGGGGATTTTGGTCATGCAGCCCGTTCTGCACCACACAGTTCCCGTCCACCGCCGCACTGCAGAATGAGCGCGGCGGAGCACTGGCGGTCGCAAGACATTGAAAGATCGGATGGCGGGCTGCTACAACCCTCGACCAGCTCGAACGGCAGGCCAGCATGATGAGCAACAGATAAGCTCTCAAAAGCGCATTGAAGAATCAATCTAGCCCAGAAGGAAGCCGATGCGTTGCGATTTGAGTGTTGCGCCTCAAAACGGGTTCCTAGCCTATGATGTCACTCCCGGCCACGGACGCATTACATGGAGAGATCGCATAGAGTGGGAGTGAGTTTGATTATCTATCCGAATTATTTATTAAGAACCTAGCAGCCACTCACGATGCGCAAGCTGCACCTGCTATTATGTACGTACAGGATATGAGAGGATCGATAGGTAGATCCCTCCCGAATCATCGATGATATACAATAGTAGTAAATCATTCATCCAAACCTGGATCCCTGCAGCTTGAGAACATTGGATATTCATGCAAAAGCATCCGGCGAAAGAACAACCCAGTTCAGAGGATACTAATGTTTCTGCCTCGTTGCAATGCCCCAAGCCATAGATTCTGCTGTCTCCTGCGTTTCTTGCAGTTTTCCCAACAATTTAGTGGATGCGGCTTGGAAATTCAAAACTAACCATCACGGTAAAGCCTGGATCCGATTGTTTGAAATCCCATATATGCTAAGTCTTCAAGGTGGTCTCAACTCGGCATTATTAGTCGCCTCACCCAGCTCTGCCGGACTACTCTTCTGTCGCTTGAGCGTTGCAAGGTTTTCGACCGGCACCGGACTACTACTCATTGGCCGAGCATAATCCGACTGCACCTCATTTAACCCTTTTTCCTCTTCTTCCGACGGACTCGGCCCTTCTGACAACGGCGGAGAGTGATAGGCAAAAGTCGGACTACAAAGTTCGCTGTCTGTCTGGTCCTCGGAAACGTTTCTTCGATGCAAGTTGGCCTTTGAATATGAGGGTCTCTGTCTGACCGTATTCGGGCTCGCGGAAGGTGTTTCGTAAGACGGAGATGCCGAGCGGAAACTGTGGGTGCGGGAGACCATGTTTTGCACCTTGGGAAACTCGAGATAGGATCCTACCGCACTTCGGGAGAATAACACTAGTCCCAAGCAAAGCAGGACGAAGACGCTTTGAATGATCGAAACGCGCTTTTGAAAGACCACTTCATCAGCAAGTATTGCTAACTGCGTCGTAACGGCGAAAAGCTCATGGTGGTATTGCTGACGTTGCTGCTCGAATTCGAGAACGACAGAGCGCCAGATGTGGTCATACTGCTGTCTGAAATCTCTCAATTCATGAAGGACGGTGGCGTTTAAATTTTCAAGGAAACTAGAAGTTTTCGCCAACTGGCGCTTCTCTACCTTGTTGAATGCATCCCGAAGGATACGTGACTGCTCTTCGATATATAGAAGCGAGAGCGTGGAATTAGTCTCTAGCATCTGTAGCCGTTTATGGACGGACTTGAAGAAGGATTCTTGCGTCGTTGGGTTTGGAGGAGGCGGCTGCGATGCTATTGGGGTTCTTTGGCTTTCCACCACCGTGTCATTCTCGGCCTCGGTCGAGCTCGACGTGGAAGCTACTCGCGCCTCGGAAGCTGGTTTCTGGGACTTATCCCCGCCGTTTGTAGTGGACGGCGTATCGGACTGTGGTATGTCTTCCGAGGCGGTTGATCCCGTAGCTTTGGCGGTTACAGACTCGCTTTCGGCCAAATCATGGGAATCGTATTGATACTCGTGTTCAGAGACCAAATCATATATCGAACTCATATTATTCACATTATACCCGAGTAGGAGCTTTTCGATTTCGTCTAGCTCGGGAAAACATAGGGCACCAAGTGCCTCTTCATCTGGTAAAGATTCAGCGCCCGTCTTGGTAACAGAGGCAGTTGCGTTGCGTTTGCAGTTTTCTTTCTGCGTCTGGTTGGACTGATCAACCGTGGATACCGCGCCGGGAGTCTCTTGGGTTGGTTGAACCGCTTGGACCGTCTCCTCCTCTGCTCGAGCAGTATCGCCATAATTCTTATACTCTTCCATCATTGTCGTGCCATGTACCCTAACCAGACTTACCGGGCAGTAGAACTCGTTTCCATAATGAGACAAGAACTCAATCTTCAAATAGCGCGTCCAGATCAGAGGATTCTCGACAGCAAACGCCTGAATTTCACGAGTATTCGCTGCCTCATATGTCCCCAACTCCTTCCACTTATCAGGCTTCGCAGGGTAGCGATCCGACACACTCACCCTAAAGGTGCGGAATATAGAGCTAAAGAATTCATAGTTGGCAAGAACAACGGTATCAACAAGGATATCATCACAAAGCTCGAGGATGATAAATTTGTCCTTGGCTCGACATTCGTTGAGCATGTAGCTATCTTTATTTTCAATCAATATCGATGACGAACCGGTACATTCCTTGTTCGTCTTCAGAACCGTAGCGGCACAATCAAACGAAGCGTAATTGAATCGCTCTTTGCACGTAGTCCCGGCATCTTTTCGGCGGGCAACGCCTCTCCGGGGGACGCCATCCGACTGAATCTCCCCTTCAGTGCCCTTGGTGACCGGTGATTCATCTCCACTCGTAGTCTGGGCGGTTCTCGCATCTTTCTTCCCCAAGGGCGGGATGTTGGGATCATCAGGGTCGAATCCGCCGAATCCCAGCTCGATTTCTCCCTCCTCACCCAACGAATCCAAAGCATTGCTGATTTTGCCTGGATAGGGCCGTCTTCGCATCTCCGTCGACCCAGAACCAGGTCTGTTTCCGCGCACATTATCCGCCGATTGACCGACCTTGGCCAGGTTCTTCTTCTTCCATTCCTCAAACGAGAGAAATTTCTCATTATCCAGTGGACTCTCGGTATCCAGCTCAGACTCTAACCTAGCCGTCGATGCTGGCGTCTCCAAGCCTTTTTCCGTGGTCGTAATCGTGGTCTCGGTAGTATTCAGCAAGAAACCATCACCCTGAGGATCTTGCCCCCCTGTGGTCACTGAACACATCGGATGCCGTAGATATTCTGCTTGTATCTCCACAACTCCCCTGACCGGACAAATCCCATTGTTCTGACCATTCGCCCACCGCGCCTCATCCAAGCCCTGCCGGTGCTGGGGGTGTGGATGCTGAAAGTCCCCATCCTCAGCCACAAACAGAGGAAGCAGGAATAACAAAATCAAACCATTGAGAACGCCAATGTCGGTATCGAAACGGAGAAACGGCCAGCGTCCGCGCATCTCGAAGGAATAAAAAACTCGATTAAAGGCAGGCCACGCGGCGCCGGAGACAAGGACAGGTTGTCGTCAACCGGCGGAAAACGGTATATGAACACAAATCACTTAGTCCTGCGATGGTAACCCAATTCCACAGTTAGCCTGGTAGATTTATATCAGAAAGCTCCGCTCCTCCTCCACTCCTCGTCCCCTGCTGGCAACATCCCTCCAGGACCGTGAGATAGCTGCCAAAGCGAAAAGAGAACTCACATTTCAAACCATAATCATTAACCCAGCAAAAGGTCATAAACATTCCCATTAGAATCTAGATCCCCTTTTCTTCTTCCCTTCGACAAGACAACGAAATACCCTCAACGTTCGCGCACCCCCCTGGCAAGGTTCAACAGGTGCGCCACACACGGCTGCTCATTTGGTTAAGGCTAGATTTCTGTATTAATCGGAGACACCCTCTTCAAAAAGGCGAAGACAAAATATCTAGAAACGGGACGTTGGAATCGTAATGGAATGGCTGGGAAAGTTTTGGCGTTTCTGGCGCGCTCAGGGAAATTGGTCTTGAGGTTTTTGCGCAAGTACCTGCGGTTATGGTGTCGGTAAAAGAGAAAAACTACATGCAAGGAAAAAGAAAGCAGGAATTTGCGAAAATTGAAAGTAAAAAATCTTCTGATGTACAGAGTAGTGATTGCGAGCCTGAAGAAACTAGCATATTTACAAGAAGTTCTCACTGGCCCCGCCGCTGTCGCGGTGGGATGGCCTGCCAAAGGGGAAAAGTAACTACAAAAGAACAGACCAGCTTGTCCAGATCTTGGACCCCAAACTCGATTTCCGGCCCCGTTCTGACTGGAGCGCACGGTTCGACAGGGGCTAGAGACGGAGTTATTCGCTACTTAGGATGTATATTAGTTAATGGAGTCGCGCGATCCCAATCCGAGACTCTCCTCCCTTCAAGACATGAAACAGATGTGCCCGAAGAGTCTATCAAGTGCTGCGTACAGAGTACTACTGATGAGACCGACGACGGCGAGTTACACCCCGATGGACTTCAGAGATATTGATGGCCAAATGCATGTCTGTCCTGAGGAAATTGTTTTATATTCTTTTCCCTGTCCATCCCTTTTGCTGCCTTTTGACAGCAGCTTTGTAGATCCAGTCAAACATAATGCTTCATAAAGTACATGAACAGCCTCTCAAAGAGAATATCAAAAGGCTGATAATTTGCAGGGGTCACAGTTTCTTTTTCCAATCTTTAGATCTGAAAGTGCACAGTGTGCAAAAGCAAACAGAACAGGGAAAGGAGCAAGGAACAGCTCCTAGAACATAAAAACCATATTCACCCAGAGCTCCATCCCGTTTTTGTTTTTTTCTTTCCCTTCCACCTCTCGAGGAGAGATGGCTACCATACCCAGGCTGCAAGAGCCTCGATAGGCACAAGTTTCTTTTCGAAATTTTTTCCGTGGTTGCAAGTCCGCCTCGTAGTTCCAAAGGCGAAATCCAGGATTCCTCTCCATCTAGCAAACTCTGCAATGCCTGCTGATGTTGTAATAATAATAGCCATAAAATAAAAATGAGGTGTGAAACCTCGAACACGCTGTGTCATGAAAGGAAGAGTAAAAGAAAACGCCCACAAGTAACCAATTGCCCAAATCTCCCCAATCTTGATACCTCCCAACTTCGCCGTGCCGTGCCGTCCCGTGTATCTTGATAACGACAGCCATAATAGTACAAACAAAACTTCAATGCAGACGACACCACACCGGCAGATGTTTCCAGTCTAGAATAAACAGGGCTCTTTGACTTTGATGCGAAAATTCACACAATTAGTGGTGCACAAGACCTGGGAATTCATGTAGCAGAAAAGTAGGAGGAGAGAAATGCTTCCAAAAAGATCATATCATATATAACAGAAAGGAAACCAGGCTGCAGCAGTTAACATGGCAAGAGAGGAATCGGAAAAAAAAAGCGATTCGTTTTGACGAAAAGAAACAAGGGATAACCAGGATTGTGGAACTTTTATATATGAAGGTCGTGCCATCCGCCGATGAAATCGAATTCCTCATCGGGGTAGCTGTCATCAACTGCAAACGGGCATGTGTCCTTTCTCGGCTTGGTTGTCTGGAAGGAATCGTGACGCCAGTCGTTGCTGAGCATGTGTGGTTGCGGAGGTTGGTGCTGGCGAGTCCGGTTGCGCCTCGGGCTGCTACTTTTGCGAGTCCACGGCTCGTTCTCAGATCCAAACGGGATTGGCGCAGCGTCCTTTCGCCAATTGCGGTTCACAATCTGATTCGCTTTCCACTGTGTAGACCGAGGTTCCTTCGGGGAGTAATTGCGTCTCTTCTGACCCAAAGCCGCCCACTTGTCCATAATTGACTGCTTCGAAGTAGCATGCTTGGGTGAGCTCGGGTGGTCGGAGAAGTGAGGCTCATCACTGGTACGGTTGCCAGTTTGTCTCGGAATAAAGACGCCCTTGCGTTCACTCGGCGTCTTTGAACGGACATTCAAAGTGGAAGAAGCAAGGTCAATTTCTGCCAATCCAGAATGGACCGGTTCATTATCCTTACTTTCCTGGCTCCAAGTACGAGCATTCTGGGCTTGGCGGTTGCGAAGTTCAAGAGCCTCATTTTCCATTTGATCCTCGTCCCATAGATCGCTCCAACTCTTCGACACTTGTTCATCTTTGCCCTTGCCGAACACCATCGACATGGAAGGAATAGGAACGCCAACTGGCTCAGGAAGCGAACCACCAAATTGAACCTTCTCAAACTGCCGGAAACGGTCCTTGGGGAACGCCATGGCCTTGAAAGATGGACCCAAGTTCGAATCCAAGGTTGAAACCATGGACGCTGATCCATTATTTTCCGTATACCATGACATGCCCTCATCGGCAGATGTGGCGAACAGGTCCTCAGTATAGATTTCGGTGTCGGGAATCGCGGACAACTGACGGACGGCCTGTTGCGGGGTTGTCTGAAGAGCTTTTGCCCACGGGAAGGAGTCACCCTGGTTGATTTGAGGACTCTGGATTGAAGGCGTGCGAAGGGGTTCACGGTAGGCACTTGCAGGGATGACATTCCTATCCTCGGTGCAAAAGTCGTCGAGGCTCTCATCATCGGTGGTAAAGGAAACAGCACGAACAATAGCTTCCCGCATAGCAGAGAGAGACCGCTTTTTCGGGTCGATAGCCAAGGAATGAGTCAGAATCTCAAAGGTATCCTGAGACATGTTGGGGAACACGTCAAAGAGGGATTGGCGGTCGCGAGAGTAATCAGCGAAAAGTACATCGGATTCGGTCGGTGTAACGAATGGATTCTTGGAAAACAAGATGTTCAAAAGGCAGATTCCAATAGCCCAGATATCAGCTTGGGCAGGAGAGTAACCGGCCGCTGTTGGTTCATATTGCTCAGGCGCCATGTACCGGTCACTTCCAACGCACGCCTCGAAAGACCAATTCGAACGAGTCACGAGTCCAAAATCGCCCAGCTTCATTGAACCATCCTGGCAGAGAAAGATGTTCTCTGGTTTGATATCACGATGGTACAAGCCCTTGGAATGCATGTACTCCACGGCGCTAACCAGTTGCAACATGAAGTCACGAACGTGCTCGGTTTCCAAAGGACCACGGTCAATCCTGATGGCCTCATATAAATCGCCCATGGAGCAATATTCAAGCACCAAGAAGGTGTGTGAAGTGGTTTCGAAGGAATGAATCATGTTGACGGTATTTGGATGATAACCGAGACGAGCATGGCATTCCATCTCCTCGGAACGTTCATCAGCAGCCAACTCCAACCCGTCAGCAGACTGTTTGGTCAGACATTTGATAGCGACCTGTTCTCCAGTCAAGGAGTCCTTGGCAAGGAAGACCATTCCAAAGGAACCATGGTTAAGGGGCGTGACTGTGAGGAATCGACCGTCCAACAGTACTCCTCCGACAAACTTGTCCCGCAAGCAATCCATTTCTGGCTAAGGGCGTTCAGGGAGCGTTGGCCGTTCCAAGAAAAGTGAAAAAGCAACTCGAGTTGAGAGGTAAAGACGCTTGAGATCCGCAAAAGGAAATTTAGCCTCCGCCGCTGGCTGAGTACTGTGAAAGGAGAGCAACCCCGAACCCAAAACTGAACGAAAAAAAAAAAAGCAAAAACACCGTAATCTCGACTTAGATGCTCATAGAATGCAACTTCGGAACCGTTGGAAATATCTCGAGGGGGGAACAAAGGAAATACCGCCGTTCGGAGGGTGGTGAGAGGTCAAAAGACGACGCCTTCGGGAGTCAGCCGGTAGAAAAGGACAGATTAAAGATCGTTATGATTGCATTTGGAATTTGCTGTAGAAAAAGGAGCCTCGATTGGCCAGAGTATGAGTTAAAGGAAGAGGGGAATATATATAGACAAGAATAGATAACAAGGTGCAATCAAAATGCGAGGAAAAAGAGAAATGGATATCGCTTCGTTACAGGTCGTGAGGTCCACAAGGTGGATGATGCTCCGGTAATATCGACTTTAGAGCTGTGGGAGTATCAGGCCGTCCCGGAAGAAGGACCAAGTGGGAATGGGGCGCGAGAGAGAGGCGCTGATCCACAAGAGGGTTGAAATGAGTCACAGCTTCCGAGGGGCTAGAATCATCGAGTGGCCTTTGTTCTTTGGAAAACGAAGCGTCGACGTGTCCAAGGGAATCGATTATCGTGGGGTTCGTTCCTTTTGTGACAGGAGAGCTTGACGATATGTGCCGGTCGTAGAATGGCTAGCCTGGTTGAAACGGGCGGCTTCGAGCAGCGGAGCAATGACTGTCTGCCAGGTGTCGGCAGATCCACGAATCAGATCAATTGTTGGACGTCAACCAGAAAGTGGTCCAACGGAGAGGCAAGACGGGGATCGATTGACTGGACGGGCAGAGCGTGAGGGCGATCGAAGCCGGTTTCAACTGAGCGGAGGAGCGTACAGGGAGAAGGAGAAGCAGGATGCCGCGTTGCAGTGAGTAGTTTTTAAGCTAGCGAGTAGATCAGAGCTGCAAGATTTGACAACTATCTGTCGTTTTGCCAACACAATATCATCCCTGGGGAACCTAGGAGGCGAGTGGCGGAAGTGAGTCAAAGGGAGATTTCTCAGGCGAGGGAGAAGAGGAAGAGAAGAAGAAGAAGTCGAGGGAGGCGGACGTGGAAGAAGGGCGGTTTGGAGAAGGGAGCTGGATTACGTGGAGCGAGACGCGGAAGTGGGAAGGTGTGGGAGAAAGAGGAAGGAAGAAGGGAGAGTGAGAGAGAGAAGGAGAAAGAACGATGCAGATAAGGTGGAATAATGGACGGAAGGAGCAGTTTGGGTGCAAGAGGAAGGGGGGGCGAAGGATGACTGATCGTGGTTGCCGGTTAAAGTCAACTCACCTCACTAGCACCAAGCAACACTGACGCTAGCGAGCAAGCAGGGCCGGGCGGTGTACGGGCCTCCGTGGTCGAATGGGAGGGCTTGGGCCCTGTGTGACCTCGCTGCTACTTGGCCCGCCCTACCAAAACGGAACATCAGGCGCGTCATTTTCGGGCATTACATCAGTACCCCAGAGGTACTCCCCAAGGAAAGCGCTAGAAAAGCGCAGAAGGGCGTGGTTCTAGGTTGCTTCCACCACCCTTCGGCCAACGCTACATGCAGCCAGCGTGGGCATTGCCCCTCATTATAACGACCGGTCAATAGGCGTG